TCCGTGGATGTTTTATTGCCCTTGTCTAGCTTGGATTAACACTTAGTCTACAGGCACACACTTGATCATCTAAATTTGCTCTCTTACAGCACTAAACTATGTTTTCTACCTTTATCTTGCATCTACCTACCACTTCAGCATTTTATTAAAAATAATAATAATAATAGTAATAATAATAACGGAGAAATGTGGGATTCACATATAAATCAAGTATATAAATCAAACAAATATTCATATTTGACCTGATTGTTTATAGTTCATAATATGTGATCAAAACTGAAAGTTTCTGTGATGACTGCCTTTGTACTGTTCACCATGTAAGAACTTATTCACCATGTAAGAACTTGTTCACCATGTAAGAGCTTGTCTGTTGTGCTTCAGAAGATTGGAGACTGACGAGAATTAGGCTTGGGGTGGATTAATGATTGCACATTGAGCATTGAGTCCCCTATACAGAATTTTATTGTTAACAACCATTTGATCAATAAATATGAGATGCCCTCTCAAAAAAAAAAGAAAATTCAATGTTCCCAATTATTTTATGGAGCTCTTTGTTACTTCTAAGTGTTTCGCATAAAAGAGTCAGAGTCCTAGGTAACACATACCTCAGGAAAATATAAATTAAATCCCTGCTTCCCTTCTCCAAGAAGTACAAAGTGGATTGGAGCCAAGTCTTCTCCCTATGCACCCTGCAAACCCCATCTTTGAGCCAAAACAGCTGACCTGGTATCAGTCCTAAGGAATGCCTCAGTACTCTCCTATCTCCCAGATGATTACCAGAAGCTCTCCCCTTTGCCATATCTGGCTTCAAAGCTGAGCATGATTGCTGCCTATGTGCAGTGTCCCCTCGTGGCCCTTTTACTCAGCTCTCCCAGTGTTTCTCCATCTGCTGCCTGCTGCCTCCTGCCACTCCCTGTGCTCAAGCAGCTTCACCAAGCTTCACTTAGTGCCCCTGCTAGGTGGGAAACTACTTAAGGGTAGAGCCTGCTCTTGATGTTTCTGCTGTCCTCCAAAAGGTCTAGCATGGTGCCTTGTAATAATACAAGGTCAATGGATAGTTGCTGATTGATTAATTTTAAGATCACTACAGGTCCTCCAAATAAGATGTGGCAGGTTAGCATGTTCTCCTAAAACGGCTGTATAAATGTCTCCCATCTTACATGACTTCCTGCAACGCAGACCTGCCACTCCTCCACCAAGAGGTCCACCCTTGAATCTGGGTGGACCCTGTAACTACTTTGACCAATAGAATATGACAGAACTGACAGTGTGCCAGTTCTAGATATGGCCCCTAACTGGCCTGGCAAGTGCTGTTCCCTGTCTCTTGGAAGCTAGCTGCCACAATGTAAGGCAAGGCTACGTGTTGCTGCTATGGTCAAAGCCCCAGCTGAACTCTCAGCTGACAGCTTGTATCAAAGACCAGGCATGAGTGAGCCTTCATGGAATCCAGCTCAGCTGAGCCTTTGAGTGACCAAAATGCTGACTGACATCTGACTTCAACCACATAACAGACCCAAGTAGGAATGTCCCAGCTAAGCCCAGTCAACCTTCAGAGCCATGAAACATAATCATTGTGTTTAAGCCACTGCACTTTGGCTTGGCTTCTTATAAAGCAATAGGTAAGTGGTACAGATGCTAACAGGCAAAATACACAACTGGAATCTAGCTGAAGCTGATGCTAAATGCCTATATGATCTTGGATAAGTAGCCCTTCCAAGTAGAATAAGACACATTTCATCATATACGCTTGGGTACTATTCAAATTGTTTTTGTTATTTTCATTATAATTTAAAATTAATTAGAAAACCAGAAAGTAAAACCATCTGAAGACAAAGCTATTGATGTAGTTAGAATCCTTGCACTGCCACTGACCCTGGCTGAGTTCTTTAACTTTTCTAAATAGTTTTCTTATCTAAAATATAAGATAAGTGGCAAAGGATCAAAACCATTTTGGATTTGGAAGAGGGTGAGGTGCCATCCTGTCTTCTTCAGGCTTCAAAATGAATACCTGGGATTTCACACAATATTTTCCAGCATCTACAATGTATAAACCAGGCACATACTAGTTGTTTGGAAGAAAATAAGGTAGAATAAGAGAGTCTATATTTGAGAAGTAACAACTATCTGCTCCTTTTGCCCCATTTTCAATTATTCTGTCCCCCCAAATAAATAGGAGGAATGGCATTTCTTTTGAGGAGATGTTAATTAGGAAATATCAGAAGTAAATGATTAATTCTTACCCCTAACAAAGCAATTATAAATATTAATTCTACAAAAGCTCAGTGAGTGGATCAATGCAGGACCAGATTACTCAAAGGACATCTGAGTCCCCCTCTCCCAGTGTAAGCTAACAGGGCATGGAGGACATACTTTATTTGGAATGTTAATATCACTTCCTCCTGCCAGTAGCACTTTGCTGCATTCTTCATGACCTCCTTCAATAGCCAGAAAGAATGGTGTTTCTGCATTCTAGAAAAAGAAAAAAAGTTAAATTAACTGCTCCTTGGCACAGAATGAAATTACTTGAGAAACAGTGCGCTTTCTCTATACCTTCTGTGCATTACTCTTAATGGATAGCATTTATTAAGCATCTTTTTGCCATCTTTTATTGCCTTGGCACAGTTAAACTGCACAACTCTATGAAGTCAGGGTTAATATTATTCGCATTTTACAGATAAGAGAACTAAGCCTTGGGTGAAAAGTGACAAAACTAGGGTGCAAGTCCAGCTGTTTGGCCCAAAGCCTGCACCCTTAACTATTCTGTTACGCTGCCTCCTTTCAGAGGTTTCATCTACCATCCATACTCTTAACCTTTATTAATTTGTCGGGCAAATATTTATTAAGCACCTACTATAAGACACTATAGGCACTGGGATTTGAGAGACAGATGGGACACAGCCCCTGGCCACAAGAAGGGAACAGCCTGCTAAAAAGGAAAGTCACAGAAATAAGGGTAATAATGCAGTATGAAACACACAAAAATAGAAGCACATTTGTACCAAGTACAGCTTTAACCTTTAAATCTGATTTAAAATGTTGTATGCCATAAAAAAAAGTAATGCACTAAATCTCAAATTAAGTTTTGTGAAACTCATTATGATAAACACTAGTAGGACAAAGTGAGAGTTCAGTTTAGATTGAAACACAGAAAAGAGGCTCACACAAAGTTACTTGGATACTTCCCCCTCCTCGTGCAGATTCTTTCCTAAAAATACTGGGAAGAAATGCAGCATTCCTTCCCCACTCCCTAGCCATTTTCCCCCCTTGTACATTATTCTGATTAACAACTGCATTAGGAAAAATTCAGGAGGTTTTACTCATAGCTAATTAGATATGAACAACCGTGTTAACAGGGATGCAAGAGACTGGGACCAATGTTTCCATCCTGAAAGATGGAAAACTCCTGGGCTGCTTTACCTGAGTGCCTGGGACAGCCATCTGTTACAAAGGAATTTCTCCTTATAATCTGTCTTCTCATTTTTCCAGGAAAAGAGAAGCCGAAAGGCAAACTCCAGAGGGAAAAACATAAGCCAAAACTATAAAGGGAAGAATTCACATATTTAATATATCAAGAGCCTAAGAAACATTAATGTCTTTGACCCAGCAATGCTACCTCTAAGAATATACCCAAAGGAAATACTGAGGAATTCAGACTAAGGTTTATATACAAAGAGGTTCATGACAGTATTACTTATAAGAAAGAAAAACTGAAATAATGAAATTCCCAAGAGATAAAGAATAATTAAATGAATTCTGGGCAGCCACTAAAGATATATCTGCATAGGAACACAATGAAAACCAGAAGGAAAATACATCAGATATATAGAAGTTAATACTTTCAGTGTGTGCAAAACATGATTGCTATTTGTTTCTTTTTACCTCAGATATGTTAAATGTATATTTCTGGCTTATGTTTTGTAATGTATTGATTTAATTATAAATGTGTATGTGACAGGTGCATGCTTAAACTTTCCGTACTGATAGAAGTTTGCTACTAAGAATGTTGAAGACAGCTGTTCTGGAGTATACTCACATGAGTCACCCCAACTGGTCTGGCAACAGCTGATACAGGAAACAGAGGCAGCCCAAGACTAGGAACATCATGGGTCTTATCCAAAACACTAATGTCATTCACACTTTGTGCAGATGAAACCTATCATAATCTGTAATTACAGTTTGTTGGACTTTTATGAGTTCTCCCAAATGCCCTGACTTAAAAATAGCTAGAAGGTGAATGAAATCCAACGGCACACATTCCAAGGTAAAGTATTAGAACAGAACAGGCAAACATACCTAAGACTTTAAACCAACCTACATCTATAGAACTTGAACTCTACAGTGATTTGTGGAAACCAATCATGCCTAAGATTTATACTACGTAATTCATGCTTTTTTGAGCTTCTCACACATCATTATAACTTTTATTCAAGAAAACCAAATTCCTGGGATGTTCTTTAAGTAAGTTAAATCAATTAAACCTGATCGCCATTAAGGAGTGAACACACAGACAAAAATAAACAAATGAAGACTATTTTTGTCCATGACCTTCAGCTGAAAAACTGGCTTTGATTCCCCCAGTACTGGAAGAGAATGAGGATATTAACATATACCAATAACACCAAAGGTAATTATGATTCCACTTATTGTACCCAGATAACACCAATGATAACAATAGACATCACTTGTTACACATTTACACTGTGCCAGGCACTGTACTAAGTGTGTGACACAGACTTTTAATTTAAACCTCACTGCACCTTATGAGACTATTTGACAGATGTGGAAACTGAGGCTGAGAGGGGCTAAGATCCTCTAGCTAGAGAGTGATGGAGCCAGGATCAGACCCAGACAGTGAGAGCCTTGCTCTAAATCTCTGCATGCCCAGGTCCAGGGATGCCTGGAAGCAGGCAGGTGGGCTTCTCTGGTCCTAAGGGAATACTGACTTGTTTCAGGCATCACACATGTTCCCTGTTATAGTCTTCAGCACTCATTGTATGTTGGCCACAGTTGCTATTTGTATTATTGTACTGCACCAATTCTAAATCACATAGTTTTATATGTTAACATATCAAAGATCAGGTTGCATCTCACTATCTCAGTCGAGCAGGTAGTAGGCATGCTATAGTTGCCATTGTTTACAATGTGCATTAATCACAATGGGTGTCAGTGAGAATCTCAGAAACTATAGTGGGGCACTTTTGAAGAAATGCCACAACACAAGCACCCTTGATGGAACAGAGGACAATACTTTGTTTGGAAAAACGGGGACATCAAGACTGAGAAGGAAACGATTTAGAACAATGGAACTCAATGTGAAGTTTAGGAATATTTAACCAACTCATATTGCTTATTTTTTCATACATATACATATATAATAGAAAAATCTAAAATAAAGTCTAAAAAACTATTTCAATAAGTATAAAATATTCTAAGTGACCAGAAAGTTTGTTAGTGTCATGGTTTAATGGGCTGCATTATTTTCTTTTTATTTTGATATCATTAATATACAATCACATGAGCAACATTGTGGTTACTAGATTCCCCCCATTATCAAATCCCCACCACAACCCTCTTATAGTCACTGTCCATCAGCATAGTAAAATGCTATAGAGTCACCACTTGTCTTCTCTCTGCTATACTGCCTTCTCCATGCCCCCACCACCATGTTATGTGTGCTAATTGTAATGCCCCTTATTCCCCTTCTCCCTCCCTTCACAGCCACTCTCCCCAGTACCTTTCCCTTTGGTAACTGTTAGTCCGTTCTTGGGTTCTGTGAGTCTGCTGCTGTTTTGTTCCTTCAGTTTTTGCTTTGTTCTTATGCTCCACAAATGAGAGAAATCATTTGATACTTGTCTTTCTCTGCCTGGCTTATTTCACTAAGCATAATAATCCTCTAGCTTCATCCATGTTGTTGCAAATGGTAGGATTTGTTTTCTTCTTATGGCTGAATAATAGTCCATTGTGTATATGTACCACATCTTCTTTATCCATTCATCTACTGATGGACACTTAGGTTGCTTCCATTTCTTGGCTATTGTAAATAGTGCTGTGATAAACATAGGGGTGGATATGTGTCTTTGAAACTGGGATCCTACATTCTTAGGGTAAATTCCTAGGAGTGGAATTCCTGGGTCAAATGGAATTTCTATTTTTAGTTTTTTGAGGAAACTCCATATTGCTTTCCACAATGGTTGAACTATTTTACATTCCCACCAGCAGTGTAGGAGGGTTCCCCTTTCTCTGCATCCTTGCCAGCATTTGTTGTTCCTAGTCTTTTCTATGTTGGCCATCCTAACTGGCGTGAGGTAATATCTCACTGTGGTTTTAATTTGCATTTCCCTGATAATTAGTGATGTGGAGCATCTTTTCATGTGCCTATTGGCCATCTGAATTTCTTCTTTGGAGAAGTGTCTGTTCAGATCCTCCGCCCATTTTTGGGCAGTATTATTTTTACTTAGTGTTACATAAAATAATGATGTGCCTTACAATCAATGGTATCAAATTAAATGATTTTATTACTTCTTACAATATCTCTCAGGAGAGGCACCAAGTTTAGAATTTACCAGAACATTCAACTATGAAGTCCAAGAGGACTCCATTCACCTGAGTTTCCAAAAACCAGCCCAAAAGCTATTGACCCAAAGGTTAAAAGTGACCACCCAGATGACTGACAAATCTGCCTCCACAGCTGTGGCCTTTCCTCTGAATCCAGACCAGGTTTCTATCTCCCTGACCCACACTGAAGTCCACAGCCAGTTTCCATTTCCCTGAATGTACCACCCCACACACAGTGCCGCACAGTGAACCCATCCAAGCCCCTTTTACTGATCTCACTGACCTGCTCCTTCCTGTGCTCCACAGCTCAGGCCTCAGCACACCACCCTCCAAGTGGTCCAGGCCAGAGAGTCAGGGGTCAGAAAGTGTTCCCTCTCCCTAATTCCTGGTCACAAGTCCTGGTGCCTCTGCCTCCTCCTGTCATTTCCTCCTATTTGCTGCTAGTGAGTTCCTCGGAGAGGCTTTCCTTTGGCTTTCCTCACTTCAGCCATTTCTGCAGTCACTGACTGGGACTTGGCTTCTCCAGTTTCTCCAGGCACCAATCCCCACTTTAGACTGCTGTGACAGTTCCAGGTCCACACCTAAGATGGACCCCATCCCTCTTTCCTGCTTCAAACCTCCAGGTCTCTGCTGCCAACAAGTCAAAGCCAAACCCCCCTCCTGGTGAGCACAGTCCATCCTCAACTCTCTGCCTTGGCCCACTCAGCTACTACCCTTCCCAGCCCACCTGTCTTCAGTTTCTGCCAATCAGAACTTGTCAGTCCCAGGACACACCACACTCTCCCCTGTGTGAAATATTCTACATGTGTGCCCTCCTCAAACTACCTTCTACCAAAGTCTATTCAAATGCCAAGATGCAAATAGTGTACCACCTCCTTTGTGATGACTGTGTAATTTCTGAAACAGATTTTCCTGTGTTCCCGAGGCATACTATGCATACATTTATCACTGCATACAGTCCAACTTATTATTTTTTACATGCCTTTCTTGCCCTGAAGGCTTCTAGAATAAGAACACACACTCTACCTAGCAAAGAGTACATATTAAGCAAATATTTTTAATTGAATGGGTAAATAAATGAATGGATTAACAAATTACTTGCTGTGAGATATTTCAAAAAAGAAAGCAGGAATTTTCTAGCATCACTTTTTACACCCGGTGGCACTAATATCTTTGTTTTCTTCACATTCCTTTCTTGAGCAATTCCCCCAGTTCCTTTTACTTTCGAGTCTCATGCCCACCTATGATGAACACCTCCACCTACCTCATTGGTTTTATTTATTTCTTGCCACTGGGTTAGCAGCAACGGGACCGCAGGGCTGTGACCATGCTTTGCTGTGAGGTGCAGGGCAGTGTCCCCCTCCTGCAACAGAAACACACTCATGGTAGAGTCCCCTCCACTGAGCAACATGCCCCTCCAACAGTCAGGACTGCACTGGAGTTTCTGGGAGGTTCATTTCAGTTAAAGCTGTGGTCTAGAGTATGCAACTCACATCCACAGTTTCAAGTGAAATTTATAGGTTTTTTTGTATTGAAGTATACTCAACATTCAATATTATATCAGTTTCAAGTACACAACATAATGACTCAACATTAATCAACATTATTAAATGCTCACCTCAACTAGTGTAGTTAATATCTGTTAACATAGAAGGATATTACAATATTACTGACTATATTTTTTATGCTGTACTTTCAGATCCATGACTAATTTACATTCTAATTGATATTTTTGTGCCTATTAATCCCCTTCACCTATTTCACCAATCCACCACAGTCTCTCCCCTATGTTAACCAACAAATTCTTTTCAACATCTATGAGTCTATTTCTGTTTTGTTTGTTAGATTCCATATGTAAATGAAATCATAAGGTATTTGTCCCTCTCTGACTGGCTTTCAAGAAAAATTTATAGCTCTTTAAAGTTTTAAATTAAAAGACATAGCTGTTTGAAACAGTAGGAAAAAATTCCATGCTCCTTATTCTGTCTTTGCTACTAATTCGCTAGTGATAAATGGAACAATTAAAGTAATTCCACATGACCTATGTGAAGGTAAACTGGTGAAAGGTTTCTGGGAGGTATCAGACAAAATAGACTTCAAAACAAAGAAAGTAACAAGAGACAAAGAAGGACATGACATAATGATAAAGGGGTCAGTCCAGTAAGAGGATATAACCATTATAAATATCTATGCAACCAACACAGGAGCACCTATGTATGTGAAACAAATACTAACATATTTAAAGGGGGAAATCGAATGCAATTCATTCGTTTTAGGAGACTTTAACACAATACTCACTCCAAACAACAGATCAACCAGACAGATAATAAGTAAGGAGACTGAGTCACTGAACAATGTATTAGAACAGACAGACCTAACAGACATCTACAGAACACTCCATCCAAAAGCAAAATAATATACATTCTTCTCAAGTGCACATGGAACATTTTCAAGAATAGATCATTTATTAGGCCACAAAAAGAGCCTCAGTAAATTCAAAAAGACTGAAATTGTACCAACCAGCTTGTCAGACCACAAGGGTATGAAACTAGAAATAAATTACACAAAGAAAACAAAGAAGCCCACAAACACATGGAGGCTTAATAACATGCTCCTAAATAATCAATGGACCAATGACCAAATAAAAACAGAGATCAAGCAATATATGGAGACAAATGACAACAATAACTCAACACTGCAAAATCTGTGGGACACAGTGAAGGCCATGATAAGAGGGAAGTAAATTGCAATTTGGGCCTACCTCAGGAAAGAAGAACAATCCCATACGAACAGTCTAAACTCACAATTAACGAAACTAGAAAAAGAAGAACAAATGAGGCCCAAAGTCAGTAGAAGGAGGGACATAATAAAAATAAGAGCAGAAATAAATAAAATTGAGAAAATAAAACAATGGAAAGAATCAATGAAAGCAGGAGCTGGTTGTCTGAGAAAATAAACAAAATAGATAAACCCCTAGCCAGACTTACCAAGAAAAAAACAGAGTCTACACACATAAACAGAATCAGAAATGAGAAAGGGAAAATCACTACAGGCACCACAGAAATACAAAGAATTATTAGAGAATACTATGAAAAATTATATGCTTACAAACTGGATAACCTAGAAGATATGAACAACTTTCTAGAAAAATACAATCTTCCAAGGCTGACCCAAGAAGAAACAGAAAATCTGAACAGACCAATTACCAGCAACAAAACTGAATGGGTAACCAAGAAAAAAAAAATACCTAAGAACAAAACCCCTGGACCAGATGGCTTCACCACAAATTTTATCAAACATTTAGTGAAGACCTAAAACCCATCCTCCTTAAAGTTTTCCAAAAAAGTAGAAGAGGAGGGAATACTCCCAAACTCTTTCTACAAGGGCAGCATCACTCTAATACCAAAACCAGGCAAAGACACCACAAAAAAATAAAATTGCAGACCAATATCCCTAATGAACATAGATGTAAAAATACTCAACAAAATATTAGCAAATTGAGTTAAAAAATACATCAAAAAGATCATCCAACATGATCAAGTAGGGTTTATTCTAGGGATGCAAGGATGGTACAATATTCAAAAATCCATCAACATCATACACCACATTAATAAAAAGAAGGACAAAAACCACATGATCATCTCCATAGATGCTGAAAAAGCATTTGATAAAACTCAACATCCATTCATGATAAAAACTCTCAATAAAATGGGTATAGAGGGCAAGTACCTCAGCATAATAAAGGCCATATATGACAAACCTACAGCAAACATCATTCTTAATAGTGAAAACCTGAAAGCTTTTCCTTTAAGACTGGGAACAAGACAAGGATGTCCACTCTCCCCACTTTTATTCAGCATAGTTCTGGAGGTTCTAACCACAACAATCAGACAACACAAAGAAATAAAAGGCATCCAGATTGGTAAGAAGAAGTTAAAGTGTCACTGTTTGCAGATGACATGATATTGTACATAAAAAAAACCCTAAAGACTCCACTCCAAAACTACTAGAAATAATATCTGAATTCAGCAAAGTTGCAGGATACAAAATTAATATGCAGAAATCTGTTGTATTCCTATATACTAACAATGAACTAGCAGAAAGAGAAATCAGGAAAGCAATACCATTCATAATCACATCAAAAAGAATAAAATAGCTAGGACTAAACCTAATCAAGGAAGTGAAAGACCTAGACTCTGAAAACTACAAGACACTCATGAGAAAAATTAAAGAAGATACGAATAAATAGAAACACATCCCATGCTCATGGATAGGAAGAATTAGTATTGTCAAAATGGCCATCTTGCCTAAAGCAATCTACAGATTCAATGCAATCCCTATCAAAATACCAATGGCATTCTTCAACAAACTAGAGCAAATAGTTAAAAATTCATATGGAATGACCAAAGACCCTGAATAGCCAGAGCAATCCTGAGAAGAAAAGAATAAAGCTGGGGGATTATGCTCACTGACTTCAAGCTCTACTACACAGTCACAGTAATCAAGACAATTTGGTACTGGCACAAGAACAGATCCATAGATCAACAGAACAGAATAGAGAGCCCAGATATAAACCCAAGCATATATGGTCAATTAATACATGATAAAGGAGCCATGGATATACAATGGGAAATGACAGCCTCTTCAACAACTGGTGTTGGCAAAACTGGACAGCTACATGTAAGAGAATGAAACTGAATTATTTTCTAACTGCATACATAAAAGAAAACTCAAAATGGATCAAAGACATGAATGTGCATCATGAAACCATGAAAGTCTTAGAAGAAAACATAGGCAAAAATCTCTTGAATATGAACATGAGCAACTTTTTCCTGAATGCATCTCCTTGGGCAAGGGAAACAAAGGCAAAAATGAACAAATGGGACTACATCAAGCTAAAAAGCTTCTGTACAGCAAAGGATACCATCCATAGAACAAAAAGGCATCCTACAGTATGGGAGAATATATTTGTAAACAACATATCTGACAAGGGATTAACATCCAAAATATACAAAGAACTCACATGACTCATCACCCAAAAAGCAAATAGCTGGTTTAAAAATGGGCACAGCATAGGAACAGACAATTCTCCAAAGAAGAAATTCAGGCGGCCAGCAGGCACATAAACAGATGCTCCACATCACTAATCACCAGTGAAATGCAAATTAAAACCACCATAAGATATCATCTCACACCAGTTAGAATGGCCACTATCCAAAAGACAAGAAACAACAAATGCTGGTGAGGATGCGGAGAAATAGGAACCCTCCTACACTGTTGGTGGGAATGCAAATTGGTATAACCACTGTGGAAAGCAGTATGGCAGTTCCTCAAAAAACTAAAAATAGAAATACCATTCGACCCAGTAATTCCACTCCTAGGAATTTACCCAAAGAAAACAAAGTCACTGATTCAAAAAGATATGTGCTCCCCTTGTTTATTGCCACATTGTTTGCAATAGCCAAGATAATGGAAGCAACCTAAGTGTCCATTGAATGGATAAAGAAAATGTGGTACATATACACAATGGAACATCATTCAGCCATAAAAGGAACAGAAATCCTGCCATTTGCAACAACATGGATGGATCTAGAGGGTATTATGCTCAGTGAAATAAGCCAGGTGGAGAAAGACAAATACCATATTAGTTCACTTATTTGTAGAATATAAAAACAAAGCAAAACAGAGGGAAAACAAAACAGCATTAGACTCATAGATACTGAGAAGTGACTAATGGTTACCAAGGGGGAGGGGAGTGGGTGAGGGAGACAGGAGGGGGACTCTTGAATCACTGTGATATATATTTGATGATAAAAATAATAATAAAAATGTACATATTAATGTTTTTAAAAAAACTAAGAAAAAACTCAACAATAAGAAAACAATATCCCAATTTTAAAAAATGTTCAAAAGATTTGAATAACACATCACCAAAGAGGATATACAAATGGTAAATAACATAAGAAAAGATGTTCAATATAACTAGTTATTAAAGAAATGCACATTAAAATCACAATAACTTGCCAATACAAATGTATCACAATGGCTAAAACTAAGGGGGAAAATGACCCTATTAAGTACTGATGAGGACTTGGCACTCTGTTACTTTGCTAGCGGGAGTGAAAATGGCATAGCCACTTTAAAAAAGTCTGGCAACTTCTTGTATATATCTTACTATATAACCCAGTAATCTCACTTCAAGGTATTTATACTAAAGAAATGAAAACGTATGCTTACATAAATACCTGTACATGAACGTTTATAGCAGCTTTATTTGTAATTGGTAAAAATTGGAAACTAATGTCCTTCAACTGGTGAATGGATAAATACACTGTGGTTCATCCATACACCGGAATACTATTCAACAACAAAAGGGAGGAATTATTGATATATACCACAAAATGCATGAACCTCACAGGCATTTTGCTGAGTGAAAGAAACCAGTGTAAAAAGATATAAGCTATATTACATATTTGGATAGTATTCTCAAAAAGACAAAGTTATAGAGATGGAGAGGAGATCAGTGGTGGTCAGGGTTAGGGAAGTTTGACTATAAAAAGGCATCATGAGAGAATTTTCTGGGTGATGCAACTGTTCTGTATTTTGATTATGGTAGTGGTTACATGAATCTATGCCTGTGTTAAATTTCATAAAACTAAATGCCAAAAAGAAAATTAATTGTACAGCATGTTAATTTAAAAATTAAAATAAAAATTTATTGTTCTGGGACTTCAATGTTAAAATAAGAATAGACTTAACAATCAGTTCTATTACCAAAGCATCTTTTGCAGGCTAACTAATATTGCAAAATAATCAAATAAAAATTTACAGTCCTATGAAACATGTTTCTTAAGTAACATCATAATACAACTTACTACATTCATAAAGTTGGAGAGCTTTAAGGGCCAACTTTTTAAAAGGGGAATTTCTTCATTCTGATTGTTATGTATCAACCTTCTTGCCCACCAATACCAGAGCAATAAAATAGACAGAGAGGGATGTGCCTCATTGGTGATACAAAGAGAAGCTCTTATTATCAAGTCTAGGCCATGTCTACAATTACCAATAAAACCAACAAGATGACTGACTGGTTTGAACTGATTTCATCCATTCATCTTTCAAAGATTTACTAAGCACATACTAAACCCTGGCCCTGTGAGATATGATGATAAAGCAATGCTGAGCCTTACTCTCCAAAGGGTCAGTGCAGAGAGAAAAGAGAAAATCTCTGTGGGAATCTTCTGAACAGTTTAAGAACCATGGTCTATTGGATTAATTAAGAACCAAGACTTACCATCTTTTTCCACAACTGGAAATAATAAACATGATGTTGGGTCTCTCCAGCCCAAGTGCTTTCCTTGTACCAAGGTAAAGCATGAAATCAAGTTGGGAAAAGTAGGTAGAAAATCCTCAGGGTGGGTTTTGATAGACAAATAGCTTAGCTGATTTATGGCTATCAGCATGGTCTCTGGAATCAGATGATCCAGGTTCAAATCCCATCCCCACCCTTCTTAGATGTAATTTTTTGGGTAAGATGCATAATCTCTCTGTGTCTCACTGTCCTCATCTGTAATCTGGGTATTAGAGTAATACTTTTCTCAAAAGATTTGTGGGGAGTGACAGATACTAAATATCTAAGTTCTAAGACTGGTGCATAGTACATAGCACGTATTTAATAAGCCTTCTTTACTTCTGAGAGTTCACAAGGCAATGTCAATTAGTGTCTCCAAGGCCAGTTAGCTTCCACCTTCCATGTGTCAAATTCCTCTCTGGGCAACAATCTTATTCTCATAAAATGTGTGCTACTGGCCATTACAGTCAATATAGGAAAAAAAGTAAAAGCCTAAGTCCTATAAATAATAGGTAAACAATTTAGTCACCAAATACAAAGAGCACACAATATCTATATCTCTAAAGAGATTTTTCTGAAATGAACACTGCCAATGGAGATATTCTGCATGTAAGTGAAGAAAAGTAACCGAAGTGACCAAATTTTCCCACATACATTAGTTATGCTCCAATCCATTCTACCAAATGAAGATGAGATTACCTTATCAGCAACATCCACCTGGGCCTTGTGATTGAGCAAGAAATCCATCGCAGATAAATGCTTTGCCCCCACTGCAAAATGCAAGGCTATCCAGTTTATCTGCGGAAACATAATTTGTGTCTTCAGTCATCTGACTGTTATTTAGCCTCTTCAAGATTCTTGTTTCTTGAACAGCCATAATTTCTTATCAGGCATTTGTACTTTGATTATTTATCTACTCTTTGCTTTTGCCTTTGAAAGTAGTGAGAACTGTGTCCAGCAAACTCTTGCCTTCATCTGTTACAATATCAGAATTTGGCAATCCACTGGAGAACGTGACTCAAACTGAAATCTATTGCATGACCTATCATTGACTGTAACACTATAATGGATTTCAGTTAGAGAGTAAAAGTTGTTATTCCCTGTATGCAATCATTAATAATAGTAATTTTTTTCTGCTTAGAATAATTTGATAATGCATAACAAAATTTTTCCTAGATGTTCAATCCATACATGTCCTGTCTTATGTAATTTTTTGGGCTGTAAATTTTACTGAAGTAAACAAATAAATTACAAAAGTAAGAAAGAGACAGACACAGAGAAAGAAGGCTATGAATATCGTTTGTTTCAAAGGAAAGCCTACATGGTGCTACTGGGATGTCCAGAGACAGTCTAATGTGTTTCAGACAATGGGTGGTTTGTGTAAGTCATTTGTCACATCTTCCATATTCCCAACCATATTTATAGTGCCTGGGCATGTATTTACTATCCTTTGTTTTAAATAATTTATTACAAAAATTAAACATCTGATTTTCTTGGTAAGTAAACCAGTGATAAACTAAGTCTGACAGAACATGTTACCATTGTCTGCAATCTACAACTAAGTTCTAATATGTCAAATTTGGACTTATAAAACTCCTCTATTAACTTTATTTGTAAATAAGGATGCAAGCCAAAATAGCATCCAAGATAATTCAATAAAACCATTTATATTGTTTTTCATCTTTACCACTGCAGATTTTAAATAACTATACAATTAACCATGTCAACAGTCTGCTGTAAACAAGCTAAAAGAGCTGTCATTACAAAGTACAGTATAATTCATCAGGAGTTTATGATAACACGCCACACTGATTGTAATTTAAAGTACCCTAAATTTTACTATCTCCCCAACTACTTTAATATAAAAATATGGCTTGAAAGATGAGAAAGTTGTACGTGAAAAAATTTTAAACTATTGTGAAAGTACATTGGAGACTCTATTTCCTGCTACCTGGAAAAATGATTATTGCTTTCCTTATTCAACAATTAATCTAGATATCAGCTTCAAAGATCCTTATTTCTTTTCATTTTACTCCCTTCCTTGACTTCTTTTCTTTCTTTTTTTGGTTCCTAAAATTGCAGTGCTGAAAAATTTTGCCATTTTTCTACTCTTTCTAGGATGTCTATGCACAGCAAATACTATATAAACTCATTTAACACATCAGACACAAATGCACACACAAAACATACACACAGACACACAAATTCCCACATACACATAAACAAATATGCCCTCATACACATGCACAACTACTAAACATCCTTCCATTGCATAGGATACATGACGTCAGTTTCTATAACCTCATGGCCTGAGATAGATCCATGTTTTGTGGAACCTGAAGTTTACACCCTTTAGGGAGCCCTCCTTAAAGCCAGAGTCAGAAAACTATAATTATTTTTAGTTATAATTTCTTATTATTTTAGATTTTATAAAACCAAATAACATGAGAACACATTGCTAAAGCCCTCCCAGTGCCACAAGTAGGGGCACTAAAGCATATGCTTCATTCAGCATTAAATCTAGCTCTGCCATTCCAGCCTGAACCACTACACAAACTGTCCCAAACACCTGACACAGCCCCCCAACTTGTTCACTTTTACAAAATTCTGCTGTGAGTGGCTGTCAGGAAATTCCCACAAAACCAAGTAGTAGGAAATGTATTTCTGGCAGTGGGCTTTTCCCCCAAACCCAGGTACATGAAGAATACATAAGAGCCAGGTTTTAGAAGATGCCCCACTGTGCAACATGCAGATGTACTGTATTTCTAAAGCAATAAAGGGCAAACCAGTAATCTTTGGATTTTTAATTTGGAGGGCCCCAACTAACAAAGGACATCTCTGGGGAGAAAACAATGATGAATTGTGTAGCAAAAGATGTTCTGCCTTTCCAGAATGTGTGAGGCCAAAATGATCCACAAATTTACAATCTAGGACTAAGTCCAGCCCCATAACCTTGACAGTCAGCTTTACCACCCACACACAGACTTTGCACACATGTGCAAAGATCTGTACACTTCCATTCTGATAAATTAAAACACCCAGAGCCTATTCCACTGCTTGATTCCACCATTAGCTTAAACATTCCAGAACTACTAACAATGGAGCTCTCCCTCATCTCAACCAGCACAATTATTTTTATTTTTGTTATTATTTCGATTAGACTGTGTAAACCCAAGCCACCCTCAGATAAGTCACTTGTCACACTTGCAACTTCGACTTACATTGTTCCCAGCATTAATGTTAACCTTCTTTTTAAACAGCTTCTCCATAAGATCCAAATTATTGCTGTTAGCAGCATTCTGGAAGCTTTTCTCATTTGGCAGTACTGAAAACAAGCAAGCAAGAATGACTGAGGGAATTCAAGGGGGATGAAGAGAAAGCAAACCTCATGTGGCAAACCTTGTAGCTCTAAAAACTTAAAATAACAGCCTTGAGCCTTTATCATTTTGCTATCCTGTACATGGGAACTTTGTTTCAATATTTTATAAAGCTGTATTATTAAGATTCCAGTTTATCCTCCAGCTGCAAGTGCTCTCACACACTTAAAATATTCCTAGCCCCAAACAAAACAGTATTTCCAAGGACCACCCTGAAGTCAGCAATGTAGTATTTGAGCCTAGGAGGTCGGAAGGTAGCCATGGACTTCCCAGAGGACATCATTTATACAATGTTTGTGTGAGATTAGTCAGGGAGGAGCCCAGATGCTCAGTAGAAGCTTACAAAGAAAAAATTGTTGTCTGCAGAAGGCTGTGTAGATGCCAGGTTGGCAGAAACAAACTTTAAATTGCAACAAATTATACACAAAGGCTAAAGGAGATGAACATGCTGTATTTTGAGACTTTCTGTAATACAGGGGAGCTGGAGGGCTCTCAGGGGACAACCCCAACATGGGGAATAAAATCTGAATTGGAATGGTCTGAATATCAGTAATAGACCATCTCCAAAAAGAAAAGATTCCAAGAAAGATTTTGTGTATCTATTGCTGAGTAGTTTCCCAGTATCTGACAAAGACTCTTTAGAATGCTACCAAGTCCAATCAAAGAGCAGGGAGTATCTTCAAGAGAGATATACACATGTGCTTTTTCTCACTTGGATTCCCTCTTTTCCTGTCTACCACTACTATTCCTAGCTACTACTCTTAGTGACTTCAATATCCATGAAGATGATTAATTTCATGCCTGGGTCTCTCAGTGTTCTGATGCCTTCACCTCTAATCTTTCCCTCCACATGACCTGGCCTCCAAGCCCCAGTTCCCACAGGGAGAGGCAAAGAGGGCCCAGTGGTTCCTGCTCATGCAGTGAATCCAGCACTTAGGGAACCCAAATCCTTTGTAAAGGACAGTGAGCATGCCTTACTCTCACTGTTGTTCATGGCTATAAGAAAACTTGTCCCTGCTCCAGAGGAGTACATTATTTCTCTCTTCCAAAACAGTTTACTACACAAACATCCTGGAAAAGATGGTCCAGAACAAAGGCAGTCTTCTGCTTGTAAGACATGCAGAAACGCAAGAGACCCATGGAGATCTGTCTCCCAATACCAACCTGATGGAGGTTCTGCATCTCAGGACTTCTTGTATTAGTTTACTAGGGCTGCCACGTGCATTGAGCTCTTGGCAGATCTGACACAGAGGACCATGCTCTCCTTGTACCATGTTCCTCTCCAGGCTTCTGTTAGACTACGTTTTGTTTTCCCATCTCTTTTACTGGCTCTTTCTCCTCTGCTTGATGTCCAAACGTTGGTGCACCCCAGAGTTTTCATAAAATTAACAACCTGGTGGACTTTATCACCACCATTTTACAGAGGAGAAAACTGAGACTTAGAAAATTAAACCACTTGCTCATGTCTTAAAGATAATAATGGTAGAACTGTCCCAAACAGTCTGAATCTAAACCTCAAGCTTTCAATCACTGCACATGTCTAGGGTGTCAGCATGAGTGTACTGCTGCAGAGAAGATCCAAACTACCCACTCCATCAAATGCTTTAGCTAATACATTCTAGTTAGGCTGGATTTCTCTCAGCTCCCTCTCCTGGTTCCACATAGGCCCGACCCCAGGTCCTCGCCCCTGTGTATTAACCTGATGGGAGGGTATTTCCAGTTCAAGGTCTTTGTCCTTGTTTGGTATGTTCCCGGGCAAGTGAAGACCTTACTGTGATCTGAAATATGACATATAGATTCTATTCTGTCCCTAAAGCTGAATATCTTGCCCCTTTTCTACCACACCTGTTAGGAAAATTAATTTTGAGACAGCTTCTAAGTCAACAGGGAAGCATCATAAAAGACTCGATTCCTTAAGTCAATGGTTCTTATCCCTGGCTTCAGGAAGAAATCAACTAGATACCTTTAAAAAAAAAATCTAAGCCAGGTTCTTCAACTAAAGCTGATTACATCAGACATTCTAGAGGCTCAACATTCACCAACTTGCCCACAATTTCCTGATTGTCCAATCTTGTAACAAACAATTCTGAATTTTAGTATCCCAATAATGTGAGCTCCATCAGAATAGTTGTCCTGTGCTCTCTGCACATCTAGAATATGTTTAGTAAATAGTAAGCTCTTGAATATATCGGTAGGATAGATGGATGGACGGACGGATGGACAGATGCATGGACGGATGGACAGACGGACGGACGGACGGACGGACGGACGGATGGATGGATGGACTAAATGAACCTTATATAAAGGAATTGGTGCTCTGGCCGCAGGGCCAGTCTTCAGGAAATGAGGCCATCCAGTTAGCTGACTTGGATGGTGTGCCCTGTCGCAGACCTGGTTTCATCCTCAACTTTTGAAGACTCTCCAACAGTGTGCCTCGCTTTATGCTATAAATGTATTCCCAAGGTATAGATGATACATTCCATGCTTTAAAAACTTTAGTACAGAAAGATTAAGTGACTTTAGTCACACAATAAATTAAAACAGATAACAGCACATAAAACTCTTTCCCTATTTGCAAAAGGGCTTAACCATTTGTTTAAAAATCCTCTACCCTTAGAGGGTATTATGCTCAGTGAAATAAACCAGGCGGAGAAAGACAAGTACCAAATGATTTCACTCATCTGTGGAGTATAAGAACAAAGCAAAAACTGCAGGAACAGAACAGCAGCTGACTCACAGAACCCAAGAATGGACTAACAGTTACCAAAGGGAAAGGGACTGGGGAGGGTGGGTGACAAGGGAAGGAGGAGGGGAATAAGGGGCATTACGATTAGCACACATAATGTAGGTGGGAGTCACGGGGAAGGCAGTATATACAGAGAATACAAGTAGTGACTCTATGGCATCTTACTATGCTGATGGACAGTGACTGTGGTGGGCACGTGATAATGGCGAGAATCTAGTAACCACAATATTGCTCATGAGATTGTATGTTAATGATACCAAAATAAAATAATAAAAAATAAATCCTCTACCTTAAATTGAAAGAGTAACCCTTTCCTTCATTTCACAGTACAGGTTGAACCTGAAATAAAACGTCCTGAGAAATGTGAGGCAAATTTTGGTTGTGGGTGGGTTCCAGCCGTGAAAAGCAGCCCACAGGGGTGTGGTGGTGGAGGATGGGCTCCAGGTCCCCACAGACGAGGCCTCGCGCCCACTTCCTTCCCTCAAGGTCTTGAGGCGCTGCTCCGGGCACCTTCTGCGCCCGCCCCTGGGGCCTGGGACCCGCCGCCCCGCCGCCCCGCCTTCCGATTTCCACAGCGCTTCCAGAACTCACGGAATTCAGGTCTGGCCGCCGCCTCCTCCCGAGGCTCCTCCTGGCTCGGGATCCGAGACAGCCCCTCAACAGGGCCGGCCCGCCGCGCCTCTCGGGTCTTCCCGGAACCCCTCCGCGGCCGCGGCCGCCCGGCGCAGCAGCCCCCTCGCCGCCGCCCGGCGGGGTCCACGGCCGTCCCCGCGGCCGGCCGAGTGCCGGCGGGGCTCAGACCCCCGGCCGGGGCTGGCGGCGCGCGGGGCGGCGCGGGGTGGGAGGCGGGGCGGGTCCGCTCGCCCCTGGTTCCGCAGCCCTGCCCCTGCGTGGCCGGCCTGGGAGGGTCCGTCTGCGGGGGTCGCGTGCGCGGTAATACGGTTTGGTTTTACCTGAAGTAAAAACGTTCTGAAAAACTCTCAGTTCATACTTAGCAATTATCATACAATTTTGAGAAATGTCGAAGTTGGATTTATAATCAACACTATTGGAGCTTCATTTATAAATGGGTTTCCAGAATTTTCTTTTGAATAAGACTCTCAGTTTCTTCTTTGAAGGTGTACATCTTGATATTCCATTTTAATGCAGTGCTAACCTATTGGGCACCCCATCTTGGGTACTATTTCTTTTTTAGTGGTTTGTAAAATAAAGCATTGATGAAATACAGTCATCTATCCTGGGCAATCATGTGCCTAGGTGAAATTCTAAAAATATGGAAGAAAAGCATAATATTGAAGGACAACCAGGATCTCTGCCCTGAATCCCTAGTACTTAAGCACAGTGTATTTGATGGATTACAAAGACATAGCAAAACCATGGCACATCTCACACCTGTGCAAGATTTCAGAGGTCAGACTGGAAGTTTAGCATGTTCTAGGAGGGAAAAATTTGAGCCCTCATAAAACAGAACTAAATCTGACCCTAGAACTGACCCAACATTTTTGTATACTCACATACCACAGACAGAAAAGTAATATTAAGAAAGCGTTGTCCATAAAAATGCACAAGGTTGTTCAGAGAAGGGAAAAAAATTGATGAAAGCTGAGAAATGAGTTTAAAGGCCAGAGATTAGGCGACTGATGAGGACTTGACAAAAGGATTTGAAAGAAGTGAATGTTTCAAGAGTCTCTACAAGGGTAGACAGAATTCAATAATAGATACGGATTTGGCAGAGGTAGTATGCATGTGTGTGTGTGTGTGTGTGTAAACATTTATATATAATGCATATATATATGTTTGAAATCATAATAAACTTCAGAGACTGAGGTTAGAAAGAGTTCACACCTTGCATCTCCTTGAGCCTTCTGTAGACAGCAACAATGGGACTGTCATACATTTCCTCCCACCTGGAAGGGAAACAGTTCAATATAATGGTTTGCTTAATAAATGGAATCATGTTTCCAATACCATAATATCATTTGAGTTTTGAACAACTGTTAATCCCATTATGTATTACAAAGCAAAAGCGATTACTCCTTGTGGGTAAAATTGTAGCATTTTTTAGTACATTTGCATATCCTCACCCGTGGAGAGAAGTTCATCTCCACCTGGGCAACCTAGGGAAGAATGTCTGAACCTGAAAGTTTAAAGGGAGGGCCTTTTTGCTTCTGCTGGAGCAGAGAAGGCCCTGGACTGCAGTTTGTAAGCAATAAATGGATTTTAAACTTTATTTCTTCCTTTGACTGATTTTGGTTTTAGAGGTATTTTACCCCAGGATTTCCTTTACCCAGACTTACACCTCTTAATTATACAACACAGTTTTTGCTCCAGGGAAATAAACGCTACCTTCTGTGAAGTTCACTAAAATCCTACCAGCACCTCTAGATATATTCAAATATATAATTACTTTTCAAAATCAAACATTATTTTTCTAAAAAGGTAGCAGATATGGTTTTCAAAATGGAGTATTTCCTCAAAACATTTTTTAGCCCAGGTTGTCATATTTTGAGCCTTCTTCCAAATACTTCCAAGCCACCCTAAAAGGACATAGTATTAAAATATTTATAAAGCAAGCAATTAACCAATAAAGGGAAAGAAATGCAATTCACTCTTTTTGGAATGCCCAACCCTTTGGGCCCAGCTTGATTGCAGCTGCTTATATAAGCCACCACCCTGTCTTCCCAGAGAAAAATAGTAAGCTAGTAATAGACACCACTCTTTGGGCACATATTATTTATTCTTTTATGGGTCAACACATAATAATTGATACCTACTAAGTGTCGAGCCATATACTTCATACCAAGAATTAAGAGATTAATGAAAGATAAACCAGGACCTCTAGCAGCCTACAATCTAGTAGCGAGAGACCACAGAAAAGCATGTTTCAGAGTCCTCATAGAGAAACAGGAGCATACAGGAGAGACTGATAATTTTTTCCAGAGTGCAGGGTCCCTATCCTGAAGGTGGCTCCAGGGCTGAGTTGAAAGATGAGTAGTTGCATATGGTGAGAGAGGGCAAAGGGGTAATCAGGAAGCACATTGTGGGCAGAGGTAGCAGCCAAGCATGATACCAGAAGGGAGAAACAGCTTGATCTATGCAGGAAACTATAAACTTTGCAGTGTGACTTGATTGGCCTTGAATGCCAAGCCAATGTTTGGTGTGCGTCATGGACAGTGGTATGTAAGAGTTAGTTTGTACTGGTTTACAAGAGCCGATTGTTACATTTGCAGGAATTCTGTGAACTGGTTGACATGTCTACAGCTTGAAGACTGTCATTGTATTTACACCATAGGAATCATCATACACTGAAAATCAGTTCCCCTCTCTCAATCCCCACTGATCTTGGAGAGAGTTGAGAACTTTTGGGATCTATTTTGTTTTGTTTCTAACATAGAGTGACATTATGAAAACACTGTTTATGGTAGCTCTGTAAAAATTCTGCAAGATAGTTTAGAATAGGGAAAGCTGAGAAATCAGTTGGAAGGTCAGAGTTTAGGCAACTAAAAAGAGCTTAATAAAAAGAGTGGAAAGACACAGATGTTTTCAAAAGGCTCTACAGGGTAGATAGAATTCAGTAATGTATATGGAATTGACAGATACAGAGGTGGAAGAATGAGTTAAAAGACATTTTATAATGAGGGTAGTAAAAGTATTTCCTGTTAAATGCTAATTGTTTTTGCTTCCAGGCTTAAATAAATGTCTATACCCATAGCTTACATTTTTTTAAACCAAAGTTCCTCCTTGAACTCTGTAATATGACTTCCATTACCCATGTTAATGATGAAACTTCTTAGTCTTGGAGTCACTGCATCAGTAGGGGTAATTGATTATGCAGATATCACAATTCCCATATTAACTTCAAAATTCAAACACTTCCAATGGAATTAGTTGAATTTATACATACTTCTTGCAATGCTGCTTTTCCTTATTGCACAAGACTGAAGCCCTGCACAATAGGGACAGTGTAAAGACTGACATTAAAAAAGAGATCTTTGAACTCCGTTGAAGAGAGGATTACATACATGCAAACAATTATTAGACCTATTTATAAGATGTCACTTGTGTTACTATACACTAATAATGATAAATTTCAAAAGGACAGGTCATCCTCCTTCTCTGAAATTGCCTAAACATTTTATAGATGTGAAATGTCTCTGATAAGCATTTTACAAATGAGGCATACGAAAAGTTACCCTAAATGATATTTATCCTTTTTTACTTTATTCCCATACACTTGACATTTATTTTGTAAATGTGCAGTAAAGTAAAACAGCAGGTTGCTCAGGCCCTAAACATTCCAAAGAGAGGCCTTTCTGAGGACTTGCCAGAGACTGGTCCCTTGACTTCTGAGCCCTTTGAAGATCCTGCCTGGTAACAGTGTTTTAGTGTGTAGCCTGGGGCCACACCGTAATAGTATGACACAAATAGTTTATGCTAACAACATGACTTATGGTAATGCCTATTTTATATGCCTGAGGCCCAGGGTAATGAAGTATTATGTAGATCTCTGGAGGGCTGGAGACTTGAGTGGCAGCCGAGCCTACACAAGGCTGACCCCTGTGAAAATCCTGCACTGCAAGGGTTGGGTGAACTTTCCTGGGTTGGCAATACATAATAAGCCCGATCTCTCTTGGACATTGCCCATTTGCTTTTTCCCTTTGCTGATTTTAATCTGTATCCTCCTTTGTCAACAAACTGTAACCACAAGTTAAACAGCTTTTCTGAATTCTGGAAGTCCTCCTAGTCATTTGTCTCGCCTGAGGGTAGTCTTGAGGACTCCTGACACATAAGGTAGAGATCATTTTTTTTCTCTATGGATAGTCAATCATGCAAGTGCTATTTATTAAATAGCAAATACTTTTTGTACTGAGTGGTCCATACCATGCCAATACTACTTTATTAATATGAGCTGTATTAATTATGATAGGCTTCTAATAAATCTTGATATGTAATAGGGCCTGTCTCTTCTACCTTCTTATTTTTGGGCCTTTGCTCTTCCATATACAATCTAGGCTCTACTAAACAGCTCTTAGGAAAAACCATAAGGAATCTTGTTTTGAATTTTAATGAATTTATAGAATAATTGGAGGAAAATAATTATCTTTAAGATTGTTTTTCTTCCAATTCATGAACATGGTTACTCATTTCACTTACTCAAATGTACTACTTGTCTTTCAATAATACTTTGTAGTTTCTGAGTGCTTACACATATTTTGATAGGCCCCCAAGCCCCCATCTTAGGTACCTTAAAGATTATTGTCATAAAAGAGATTTTTATTACATTTTCTACTTATTACCACTGTAGAGGAATGCTAATTTTGTGTACTGATCTTGTAGCCATACTTTGTTGAACTTTTATTAAATGTAGATTTTTAAAATGTAGACAAACACATAATCTGACAATAGTTTTGTTTCCAGTGTTTATTGTATTGATTTGTTGAATTATCTAGGATCCCCAGCAAAACAATAGAGGGTACCCTTTTGTTATTCCTATGGAATGCTTCTAAAATTTCACCATTAAGTGTCATAACTTATATAGCTTTTTTAGAGATGAGGCAGAATTGACTAACAGAACCTGATTTTGTTTGGGGACCAGTGTACCCTGCTAAAAACTGTATCTTCTGGTTTTCTTTAATATGGGGAAGCCACTTGACACAATTTGGCCAATAAAATGATGTATGTAGAAAGTATGACCTGAGCTCCCAGGAAAATTCCTTAAAGTAGGACAGATTTATTGCCTTTTATCCTTTCCACTGCCTTGTCTTCCTGCGTGGAACTCATGTACAAGCCTGACTGTGGAAAAGCCCATCTTGTGGCTATAAGTTGGCCATGTGAAGCCAAGAAAATGAGAGACTTTGAACCTATCCTTGAACCAAGGTAATACTACCCAATGAAATTCATGTTTCATGAGCAAACTAGAACTGATTTTTTAAAAAAGACTCCATCTGAGTCTCTGTAATTTGCAGCTGTAAGTGAAATTCTGAACCAGTAAAGAAAGTAGGGTTCCACAAGTAACAAAGCCTAACATACACAATTGGCTTAGTGTTTGAGGGAGGGCTTTGGGGAGTGAGGACGCATATGACAGGCTGGAAAACTGGTGACTTGTTTGATAGTGATCAAATATTTGGTCATATTGTCAACCACTGCTGTTTGAAAGCAGATCAAATGCTGATTGAGGCTGTAGCATCAGGGGAAATGTTAACAGAAAAACTCAAAATGGCATGGGATGGCTCTTCTTGCTGAGTTCTAGCAAAGTCCTAGCAGAGAAAAATGTACTTTTTCTCTACTGAAGCTAGTAGCCTGCAAAGAAAGAAGAAAATATCTTGTGAAGGAAAGCAGTTTCTGCCATTTTTTTCTTTTTACTTTTTATTGTGCTATGTCACATAAGAACAAGAATATATAAAATACATGAGTACAGTTTAAAGAATATTTTTAAACATCCACGCACTTACCATCCAAGGCAAGAGAATATTGTCAGCATCCCAGCAGCTCCATGTGCATCCCCCCTACACATCTCCCTATCTCCTCATAGGAGAAATCATCATTTTAACTTTTGGAACAGTAACATACTTGCTTTTCTTTACAATTTGGTCTCATATGGATATATCCTTAAAAGAATATGGTTCAATTTAAACTGTTTGAACTTTATATAAATGGAAGCATGTTGATGACATCTATGACTTGCTTCTTCTGCTCCACATTATGTTCATGATATTCATCCACTTTCTGGTTAGCTGTTTCCTTCATTTTTACCACTGTGTAGAATTCTACTGTTTGAATATACATGAATATGCAATGGTAGAATTTAACCATTCTACCATTGCTGGATATTTCCAATTTTTGGCTATTACAGTATTGCTATGAGCATTCTTGTACATGCTTCCTGAAAACAGGTAAAATTGTTTTCCCAAGACAATTTATCAGGGTTCTGGAAAGAAAAAAATTAATTTTTTGAGTTTAAGAAAGGGACTATTTACAAAGGTGTGGGGAAACCAAAAAGATAGCGTAGCAGCCCAGGACTAAGAAGAGTGAGGCTCTGTTGCTACCCCTAGGCTGAAGGGGTGGGGGAAGGAAAGGATGATAACCTGGAAGGAATGCAGTATGAAGTTGTGACTTTTGGTTAGGGACCTAACCAGCTTGAGATGATCCTACAAAAAGGTACACAAGGCAATAAATACACAACTTCATCGCCTTTCCTCCTTGAAATCTTCTGCAGTGGCTCCCCCATTGGGGGGATTTTTTTCTTTCATTTCTATATTACTAAAATGGCTGAGAATGTTTTCATATTTGTTGACCATTTGGATTTCTATTTATGCGAAGTGTCATTTAAAGTCTCTTGTCCAAATGTCTATTGGCTGTCTGTCTTTTTCTCACTGATTCGTAGAAGTCATTTATATATTTCCAATATTAGTTTTTTGCCAGTTGTGTGTTACAAGTATGTTCTCCCAGGTAGAGCCCTATTTTTGTGACCCTAAGTAGGTAAGACTGTAAGTGCTTCTTCTTTGTAGTTTTGATGTACTTTCTAAAAATGTCCCCAAGCAAAAATATAATAAGAAAATGAGTTGAATGTATTAGATAAAACAGATAGAAAAAGATGTGGAGAGAATTCTGGGCAAATAAAACAAAAGTTAAAGCACCAGAGTAGGGGGAAAGAGTGGAAATGAAAGGAAACCATTTCTACTGACTAAAATCAATTAAACATTTCAATTTTTATTTTAAATTTTTATTAAATATTAGCAAATGACCACATTCAATTAAATGAATCATCTAGGTGAAAATAATTTAGTATTTATATAATATTAGAAACACAATAAAAATAAACTTGAGGCAAGACAGAAAATGATGGTGCTACTTTTTAATACATTAAATCAGTATTTCATTGAACTCAGTTTTGTAAAGAATTCACATAAGTAAATCACACAATCAAGCACCATAGCTCTACAGCTTTGTATTCATCACTGTATATAATAATATTAGGCATGAGATTGTCATGTTAATAAACATTAAGCCTTACTGTGAATAATATAGTAATTTAAAATCCAAGTTACCACTTTGGCCAAAGGCAGTCAAGATCCTACTTTAAGCTCTTCCTAAAATATTTCAGTATAAATTTAGATAATAAGCTACGAAGTATGAAAAGTGGGAAAAGGAAAAAAACAGAAGAGAACAAGAGATTCAGTTCCTAAAACAGTAACATAAAATGGTTTCCATCTTCACGTTTCAATTAAATGTTTTTGATAAAAACTCTTATTGATAAAATGGAAGTATTTGGACCAACTATTTAAGCTAACTACAATTAAGCATTCTTTCACAAATATAACTGCTAAGAAATGAAATGCTGCCATTTAAAAGTCCTTTATATAAGAAAATAATTACCTTGAATCTTAGACTACATGTTTCCAGTGAACAAAGTGCTTATTCATAAGATAAAGAAATTTTAAATAAGTCATTAATCATATTTTAAGCAAAAATTCTTTTAATACAGAATATAATACTGTGATATTATTTTCCTAAGGGTAACAAAACCACTCATACTAGTTCTGCTAATCTAATATTCTTCATAGAACTTATGATAAATTATAATTATGAATGTTTATGAGGTATCTGAAGATACAAGGAGCTAAAATATGAATATACAAAATTGTAGCAGATACTAAGATCAAATATAGCAGTCCAGTGCCAACAAAGTGATTAAACACTGAAAAATTCTTACACTAAAATAAAATTCTTATGCTAAAATGTTGGTGTGAAACTCTGAGAGCCCTTATAAATACGCTTTTCTATTTACCTTAAAACATAATAAAGAAATCATTTTTTTATCCTATTCCTAATTCCTCATTTTTAAATTACTTCTAATAGCACTGATTTCCAATTGATGTATTATGGAAGTGAATTCTCATGATTATCAAAAAGATATACAGGGGTAAATTCACACAGATTCCAAATTCACATAAAGGCATTGTCATTGGGAGAGAATTTATTGCATTTGTTTTTCACAAATGAATCTCTAAACTTAAGATGAGGAGGAAGAGATTCACTGATCATAAAATATCAAGTTTCAATTAAAAATTAATGAAAAATGTTCAATCTTTATTTAAAAAATATATCAAGAGTGTGTCTGGGATTGTCAGGTCTTATTTTCTTTGATGCTGAATACTTCGTCATCAGTCCTGGCCTAGAATAAAAACAAACAAGCAGACAATTAAAATCCAGGAAGAGATTTCTTAAAACTTTTATAAATGATAGATTAAAAAAATTTTACTTGATGAATTATAAAAGCAAATTTTAAATCCCCTAAAAATTAGACCTCAAAATATGACAATTTTATAGGCAGCTTTATTAGAACTCATCTTAGTCATACCTTTTTGTTTTTGTTACAGTCTTCTGTATTGTACTGTTGCCTTTAGAGGGAAGAAAATTTGAGAAATTCCATAATAAACAACATGAAATAATGAAAAAGTTGTATGAAACACTGAAATTGACTGAATAAAAATAAAAATTTCCTTAGTTCTACATAGTTCATATTTATACACACTGGAAACTAACTTTATAGCATAATTTCCTTGTTTTTATTAGTACTACACTTAATTTTATTTTTCAAGTTGGGCTAGAATCAAATCTACTAAAAAACAAGTTGAAGAGGCTGTATGGCTATGTAATTTTTCTTTTAATTTAAAGACCTAATTGGCTTTATTAGGCAATTCATGAATCAAGACAGCATCCCCTTTTAGCAAACAGAGAAATGCTCCCAACAACTACAGGAAGAAGGAGGTTTTAGAAGACTGGACAAGGAAGTCACAAATAGAAAAAAAGAATTATTTCTTGTGAGGTCACCTTCATCTGGGGACAAAAGGGTCTTATTAGGTGGATTCCTTTGGGGAATGAAAAGAGTAACAGATTATCTTAAATTCCTGACTTACTGCATTTCTGGGGGAAGCTGAAACTGAAATTAGGTTAGGTATTAAGTCCTGGTTTGATGATGTGATCTAGCAGAAGTGACTCCATGTTGGGCCTGTGTTTTTCTTTTTAACAATGCTCTCCTTTTGATCAGACTCTCAGCTTAACTGAGCAATGTGATCAAAATTTAAGGCATCAACACCACTCTCAACTAGTGCTCTATATATTTCCTCACTGCTTCTGTTGTTCCTTTTGTGTGATGTCCATGGTCATATTTTTGTTTAATATTTGTGATATTCACAGGTTTAACCTTGAGTTCATTCTGTGCTTAATCAAGCCCAAGCCAAAGATTTCCCAAAATTTAAAACCTAATGGCTTCTTTGAATTCTAAACTATGGTAAGGCAACTAATATTTTCCTAAATGGCAAACTATCCCTTTAGCAGTAAGTGTTTCAGATTTAACAACAATCTCAAATTTAATAAAACATTCCTAGAAAATCAAGTTCTTTAAAATGACTGCAAACTCACCAGTATTATTGGTGCTTTCATTGAGTTGGTTAACTATACTAACATTATCTTTTTTTAGTTCCTGGATAATGTCCTTATTTAAGCAAACATCCACATGCACATTGAACAGGGTAAGATCTGAAGTCTTTTGTTCCAGGTTACAAACAGGACAAACTAGAGCTTGGTCTGTTACCACTTCATATAAATAAGGCTGGAGGGATTCTTGCCTACTTAATGATCCAACATCTTCATTTTCCAGTGAAACAGCACAGGAAGAATTCTGATGACAGTGCTCAATATTAAATGATTTGCTTGGAAAACTAGAACAGTCCCCTTTGCCATGCTTATTACTTAAAGCATCTACACTTATTTCTTTAGGTGGGTTACCTATAGTCTCTACCAACTCTACACAGTCTACTGAACTGGTTTCTATATTCTTCTGATGGGTTTCATAATACTGCTTCTCACAGACTGAAAAACAATGATGCATACTTTCTTTCTTATTAACTTCTGTAGAGGAAGCATGTGAACATGAGAACATTTTAGAGTTTTCACTGATTGATGTTCCATCAAGACATGTATCTACATGTCTATTAAAGGCTTCCAGGCTGATGCTTTTTTGCTCCTTAAAGCAAACAGGACAGGTAAATATCTGTGAGCTATCCGAATTCTCTGATGATTCTAAATTCTCATTCATCTTCTTTAAAACTTGGAATGATTGTGATGCCTGTAAACTTTGTTTATCCACAGTTTCACATTTAAATATGTCTTGGTGGCTCCATTTTCTTTCCAATCGTTTTTTATCAAAGAAGCTCTTCTTTTGAGACATTTCTAGAGGTTTTAAAAACTGATCTTTGTCAGTTTTCTCTAGTGTACACCCAGTGGCCGACAGAGTTTGGTTTCCAGACTTTAAGAAGCCAATAATGCTCCTTTGTTGGTATTTCTTGTCTTCTTCACTGGGAAAACTAGATAACCGCACACCTAAATTAAACCAACCACAATTAATCAATTTCAAGCCTAACAAAGCTAATTCATTCATAATGCACAAAAACATTTTGTATAATCCTGTTGTGACATATATACAAAAAGACTGTTTAGAGAAAAATAATAAGCAACAACACGTATTTTCTGAATTAAAGGATGCTTTTTTAAAGCTAGTACTTGGAGCAGAAATTTACTTTCCTTAAAAAAGTGGGTATCACTAAGTAGTATCTACTACAGTTGGTGTGATTTTATATAGGTCTTTCAATTAATATCTGACACATGATACCATTAAATACCAAGTACCTAATTAGCCAACTACAAGACTCTAGCTCTTTTTTTTTCCAGTAGACAAAAATCTTTATTTTTTAGAATAAATTTAGAATCACAGCAAAACTGAGCAGAAAGCACAGAATTCCTATACATCCCTGCCCCCAAACCTAATACACAGCCTCCTCCAATTACCTTCCCCCACCAGAGTGGTACATTTGTTATAATTGATGAACTTATATTGATATTACATTATCACTTGAAGTCTGTAGTTTACATTAAGGATCACTCCTGATGTTGGACATTCTATGGGTTTGGACAAATGTATAATGATATGTATCCACCATTATAGCATCATACCAAATAGACTGACCACCCTCAGAAAAACAAAATCCTCTGTGATCTGCCTCTTTATCCCCTTCTTCCCCTTGCAGCCTTTGACAACCACTGATCTTTTTACTGTCTCCATAGTTTTGTCTTTCCAGAGCATCGCATAGTTGGAATCATACAGTATATAGCCTTTTCAGATGGGTTTCTTTCACTTAACAACATACATTTAAGGTTCCTCCATGTCTTTTCATGGCTTGATAGATCATTTCTTTTATGCATTGAATAATATTCCATAGTCTGCATCATTTTCCATTCACCTACTACTGAGAGACATCTTGGTTGCTTCCAAGTTTTGGCAATTGTGAATAAAGCTGGTAGAAATATCTGTTTCTTAGCTCTTCAATTAACAAACTTTATTCAATTGATTTCAGTGTGTGTAATCTTTCAAATATGATGGCTAATGACCCACTCTTAGCGGTAAAGTGGCATTTGGAGTGCGTATCCATATAAATCCTCTTACCAGCTCACTTTGGAAACATGGTTGGTTGGTTTGTCTGTTTACAATGTGGTGGCTAGAGATGTGGTAACATCCCTTATCTGTAATACTGAAATCTATAAAGCTCTGAAAGTAATAACAAATGACAATTGATGACCAAATTGATGTGAAGCTATTTATAGCCTTTGCAATATTAGTGTGAATATTGTTTTGTTTGACTACAGAAATGTGAATGTGTTTGACCATGAGGTTCTGCCTTAGATCCCAAAGGCATATAACATACTCAATATGCACTGAATTTGCTTTCTAAAATCTGAAAAGTTTTAAAATTTGAAACATACCTAGTCCCAAGGTTTTCAATAGTAGTAAAGAAATAGCCAATATTTAATTGGTCCTTTAGTTGGTTCTTACTAGAATTGAACTAATGATCATGGCTTCACATGCATCAGATTCTAACAGTTAAGAAAATGGCAGCATTATAGGTACACATTTCTAAACAGATTTAAGAAATAAAATAGAGGTGTTCAGAGTTGATTCTCTGGGAAAGTCTAGCAGATTTAAGGATAAACAAGAAAAGAAAAGCCATACCCATAAGTCTTAATCTCAAGGGATGTGGAAAGTCAGCATCAATTTCTGTTCTTAGCAATTCTTTAGCAATAGCAAATATTTCTTCTGAGGTAGAAATTACAGATGAAACTGTAGATGCTCGAGTTTTTAGTTCAAAATTCACATTCTTCAACTTAAGTGTAACAGTTCTACCCTGTAACAAACAGAATACATTATTATACATGACTTTCTAACTTCTGGAAAAAAGTTATTTTATAGGTTAGAAAAATTCAGAAAGAATTTCTTATGTACCTATATAATATGGAAGTATAATCATTTATAAAATATGGCAATGAAAATTGTCATAAAGAATAAGTGGTCTATTAAGTAATCTAAAAATCCCATTTTAGCCAGTAATTCTCCCTTCTCCAAACAAATTTTTATAGGACCTTAATATAAAAGGCAAAGTTAACTGATCGTTTTCCTTTTAACTGAATGTCTTTTAGAGGTTAATTTAGTACTAACAAGGAAGGGAAGAAAAAAATCTTTCCAAAGGGGCTCCATGGAATAGGTCTTTTGGATAGCTCATACTTACTGTGTGCCTACTATACACCAGATAATATGCTAAACAACTTACATGTATGAACTCCCTTTACAGTTATTGTTTAATGGGTACAGAGTTTCAATATGGAATAATGAAAAAGTTCTGGAGTTTGAGAGTGGTGATGATTGCACAATATGAATGGAAATGCTACTGAAATATACACTTAAAAATGGTTAATATGATACGTTTCACATTATGTATATTTTACTACCTCCTAGAGGTTGTGGGAGTGGGTTAGACTTATTAACTCAGTCCCAAAGGATGAAGTATGGAAAGGGAAAAACAGTAACTTCACAATGGAGAAGCATTGTAAATACTACCTTAAGCAAGTGAGGAAGGTTAGTATCGCCCATGGTATGTGGCTATCCTATGCCCTGTTAGGATGTGATGAAGGACACTTCACCTCTGTGGTATTCTTTCTAGAAACCCATAACCTTGGTCTAATCATAAGAAAACCATCAGACAAACCCAGATTGGGAGACATTGTATAGTACATCTGACTACGACTGGATACCTCAAGACTGTCAAGGTCATGAAAAACAAAGAAATACTGAGAAACCGTCACAGACTAGAAGAGACTGGGGGATATAATGACTAAATGCAATGTGGTTCCCTGGACTGAATTCTGGAACAGAAAGAGAACACTTATGGAAAAAGAGGTAAAATTCAAATAAAGTCTACAATTTAGTTAATAGCAAGCAATATGCTAATATCAGCTTTAGATAAATATAACTATGGTAATGCAAGGTGTTAATAATGAGGGAAACTGGGTATACCCTAACTCTTCATATTTATTATCTTTGCAATTTTTCTGTAAATGTAAAATTATTTTAAAATTAAAAGTTTATTAAAAAAATGTTTTAAAGAACTCTAATTATACTCAAGGTATGATAGAGAGATTATAAAAACAATGCTCATCAGCTATCTTATCCTTTGTAGTAACTTTTTAATATTTTTGTATTAGACTTCAAATTAACTCCATCTCTGGTTTGCCAGTGTTGGAAAAAATACTTAATATGGACTGCTGTGAGTGAAGAATAGAAAATACAATGCTCAAAGCCTTCCAGGTTTTGTTTTCATTGTATTAGGCAACCTGGATTAGAGCCTTGGAATAAAATGCCTGTTCTAGAAAGTCACTGTCTACGTGAGATAAACATTAAAGGATGATTTGAAAGGCATTTATAATAATACAGTTCTAGGGAAATCCTTTCCTTTGCCTTATTCTCTAATGCTAATATAACTGATTCTGAACTTATTCAGATGTACTCCTGAGGTAGTATGAACTCTTCTGGAATTATATTGGAACCACTTCACCCTCATAAATTGCTTCTTCATAGAATGGCTGCATCATAAGCATCAGATATGGGTCAGAACTGAGTATATCTCTACTGAGATTGGGAATACTCTTTTCTGGCATCACCCAATTTGTATTCAAATGCAAACTCCAATTCTGCCTTAATGTAATATTTTATTATCAAACAATTTTTAAACTAAGAATACCAAATCAAAATAAAATACCTTACGTCCTTCTTTCTCCAGATCTTGAGCAAGTTCACTGCAAAGTTCTTGGCACAAGCTGTATTGTTCTTCTGCTTTACTTATCTCACTGAATGTCCTAGAAAGACAAGAATGATATTGATTTAAGAGTAAACTATAACTTGGAACAATTTAGGAATGATATAGTATGTTTAAATGGCCTAGCATTTTAAGTTATACTTTCTGCAGTACAGAACAGTTTTTAGATGAATTAAGATATAATTAAGTAAAAACATCTAAGATCTACTTAAATAATGGAATTTATAGTTAAAATGATTAGGAAAGGTGCATTTGATCTCTCTGCAGTATTTTTTAAAAAGATAATTAAAGTCACCAACAGATAATGACAATGCCCCCAGAACTGAAAACACATTAGGATACATGTGTACATGGACTCTGTTACAGAGGATTATCTTAAGAAAGTATAGGTGAGAATTTCACTCCAATTATTGCACATGTATTTTCTGGAAGAAAAATATCTTGAAGTAGATTTAAAGCATTGGTTCATGTCATCTATGTAGAGTTATCTAAAATAGACAACTGAAAACGGAGAGCTGGTAACATTAAATGTAGGAAGTTTGAATTAATCTGCAATAGAGTGTTGAAAGAAGTTGAGAGATCATACTAACATGAAAGAGGAAGATACTGAAAAGAGATCAAGATAATGATAAAAGACCTTGAGCAGATTATTCAGTGGAGTCCCCCTTCTAACTCTATTCCCGGATACCTAGTTCTCCTTCCTAGTGGCAACCAATGTTGCCAGCTTCCCATTCATTTGCATTCCTCCAGAATATCTATGCATATATGACCAAGCAAGCAAACATTTCCCCCTCATTTTTTTATATAAACAAATTATTAGACACATTATTCAGTACCTTGCTTTTCTCAGTTCATCCTGGTGAGTGCTCCCTATTTCCTCATTTTTATATGGCAGCCTAATATTCTAATGTAAAGATATAAGATCATTTAAACAATCCTCTATTTGTGGATATTTACTTTTAATCTTTTGCTATCATAAAAAAACACAATGAATAACCTTGTATATATGTAAAATGCCATGTGATTACATTTGTGGAATTAATTCCTAGAAAAAGAGCCATGGGATTAAGGTACACGTGCATCTGTGATTTTGATAGATACTGCCAAACTGCTTGCCCCTCTGGTAGGCAAAATTATGGTCTCCAAAGATGGTCAAGTTCTTAATCTCTCTTGGGACCTAGTATATTATGTGGTGAAAGAGACTTTGCAGATGTGATTAAATTAAAATGGGAAGATTATCCTGGATTATCTAGGTGGGGCCAATGTAATCCCAAGGGTCCTCGTGAAAAGGAGGCAGGAGGTGAGATTTAGAAAGACAAGGTGCTGGTTCGAAGATGGAGAATGGGGGCATTAGTCAAAGAATACAAACTGCCTCTAGAAGCTTTTGGTGAGGAAATGAATTCTCCCCTGAGCCTGTAGAAGGAATTCAAACCCAGCTGACACCTATATTTTAGCATTTCTGGTCCTCAGAACTGTAAAGGAATAAATTTGTATTTAAACCACTAAATTTGTGGTAATGTTATGATACACCAATAGAAACTACTACACTCCCTCTACAGTTTATAGCCCTTTCATTCCCAGTCTTGATAATAGTGTATGTTAGTATCTGTATTAACCTGATTAGTGAAAAATGCTACCTCAGAAAACATTCAATCTGTATTTCTTAAAGTATAAAGGAGATTGGGAATATTTTCATGTTTTAAGAGCCATTTGTATTTCTTTCCAGTAACTAATTAGATCTTTGTTCATTTTTTTCTATCGGCCTGCTGGCCCTTTCTTATAAAATATTAATTATTATTAATATTCCTGCATAGTAAGTGGTATTTTCAATAACAGAAGACAAATAGAAGAAAAAAATTGATTAAATAATAAAATACTATCTTAATTTTGGATGCTTTCCCCCTTCTTTTCCTTTGATTGCTTTTATGTAAATCACAGCCTAAAACAGTAATTTTTATCAAAGTCTCATTTATTAAGTGTGTTGTCTTGTAAAAGCCATGCAGGTTTTCTGATCACAAATAATACATGTGAAAAAATAACATACTGTTATACTAGGTCAGTGGTTCATAAATGTCTCAGTGGAACTTTGGTGCTTTGAGGAGATAATTGAAGGACTTTTCAAACACTGATGTTTTTCCCAAAACAATAAGGTTCCATCAAGATTTCACCTGACTTCCAAACAAGATTGTAAACCACCCCTGAACTAGATTACCTTAGAGCTCTTGTTCATCAGTGTCTTACTATTTGATGCCTGTGCTTCATTCACCAAATATCTGAAGAGTTTCAGGAAGAATTCCATGGTCATTCCTTAAGTTTCCCAAATAATTACTCAGTAGAGTTTTTCTTATAAACAAGGTTAGAAATTAAAATTTGAAATCTGAGAATGCCTGATTTTCACTGAATAGAAACAAAACTAACATTTAAAAAAATAACTGTGGTTAATTTTTTCCCCTTTGAGAGCATAGAAGTCAAAGAAAATAAAGCATTGTACTGGGATATTTACTTTAGGAATGTCAACTGCTGAAAACTTGGTTTGCAAAGAGATTTTTTCATTTCAGTGATATTTTACTAAAACTTAAAAATTAGCTTAAAATAACATGAATGAACAATTAATAACAAAACATTACCTCTCAACACTCATGCTTTTCCTCTCCCCATCCCTTGAAATGAAAAAAAAAGTTTTTAATTGCTTTCTCAAAGACTGAGTTCCTTTTAGTCAAACAAGAATATTTAACATATCAATCACCCTTCAGATAACTCAATAAGGCTTCTGATTTATTTATACATCATGAAACACAGCAAAGTATTTTTGATCTAAAAATAAAACTGCCACCAAAGATCGTAGATCAATAGGATGCTAATATGATTACATGTGTAATGGATCAAGTATATATCTATCAGAGAAAAATTTGAAGGTAGGTTGATATAAACGGCTTCTATTAAAAGCCCTAATAACAAAAAAACACAACTTATAAAATCCAGTAAAAGGTGGTAGCAATTAAATTTTGAATAATTTAATGTCAATTATCTAGTTCTAGCCTAGTATATTAACTTCACTTTCCTACAGCCTATTTCCTATTCATTCACACCACTCTACTGAATCTTAGTCAGAATTTGGCACACAGTAACAGGATTATGATTAGGAATCTAAACCATCTAGTTTGGTTGGATTCTAGCTGCTAGATAGGAGTGGTTGAAACCAAGACACCGAAATGACATGTATTCATATTCCAAAATACTCAGTGGACCTATTATGAGTTGAGCATTGTTCTAGGCCTTAGAGATACAGTAATGAACAAGTAAGACCAAGTACCTGACCTTAAGAAACTTATGTCTTAATGGAGGATTAATAAATAAGCAAATAGAGAAGTAACTATGGAATATGTTAGAAGAGCAGAAGTATTATAGACTAAAAATCAAGCAGAGCAGGGGAATAGAGAATGTGGATAGAAGAGAAGGCAGGTTTGCTATTTCATATTAGAAATTACCTATGAATTTCACTTAAAAGCATTACCTACATCTTTAAATACCATGGGTTGATATGTGCTATATCAAGAACTATATTGTTTTCAAGCACTATGGAAACAAACAGAAGGAAAGAGTAAAGAAGAAAGTTTTATTCCCTATTACCTTCAAATACTAGATATTTATAGTACTGTGATGCCTTTCTTTTATCTTTCATTTTATCTACTCAAGATCAAAGTCAGCTAATGGTGGACTCAAAAGAATGCAGAGCAGGACAGACAAGAAAAGTAATACCACAAGCCTTGCAGAAATCTCTGAAAGATTAAGCAGGTTTAATTGGTTAATCAAACATTTTATAAGCCTTCTCAGTAATCTTCTTGTTTTGCTTTAGTTTAAGTATAAGAATATAAAGGAGATATTTTGAGGGCAGGCTGACAGGATGATGACAAAATTGTAAAAATAGTGCCTAGCATTAATTCCCAACCTTTATTTTTAATTCCTTCTTTTCACCACCCCCAGCAGTACACTCTTTGAGTTCTAGGACACTTCTTTTAAGATCTACATGAAAGAGTGACAGGGAAGAAACACAGGGCCTCTCCTCTAGCTGTTTCCTCTTCTAGATCTTTGCATATCAGCCCCTTTAAGTCTCTACCTCTGGATGACCATTACCAACACCAACTCTTATCCCCAAGTCATTTCCTATGCCCTCACTCTGCCTTACCTTCATTTGTTTACTAGATTAATTTCTTTCTCCCACACTAGTCTGTAAACTCAATGAAGAGTTTTGTTCACTGCTTGTTTATCTTACTATCCCCTAACATAAAATAAGTATTCAGTAATGAATGAATGAGTAATTTATACATCTGGAAATGAGAGAAATACAGTTAGTTCATGACAGCCTTCAAAAAATCATTAACTCTCCTTGCTTAAAGAGTGAATTCTCGAATATGAGCTATGATGATTTCTTCCACCAGTATCCTTATGTTCTGAACAAAGAACAAGGCAGGTGCAGAAAAGAATATACCCTATTCCTCTTGTCCACCTATCTAATTGCTGTAGCCAAAACTTCAGAGTGATTCCTTATTCCTCCTTTGCTTTTCTCCCACACCACTCTTCTGACTCAAAAATTATAGTCTGAATTGAACCAAAAGAATTTTAGAACACGTTATCCTTATGACCTCCATCTCAATGTTAAAACTTACTTCAGCAAATGATAAAGGAAAAGCAGGATGAGTATACATACAGATACCTTGCCAGGTGTGTTGACCCTAGACCCAGAGAAATATGAAGAAAATGATGCCAAGATGTTTCAGAGAAAAGGAGAGAAAGTAATGCCCTCTGTTGGTAGAGTTCTGTGCAAGTAATAATTCCAAGGGCCTTAAACATTTTCTCTGTAACTTTTCCTATTCCAGAAACCTATAAAAGAATCAATATTTATTATTAATACATTACAAAATTAAGGTAAGCACTGACATTATAATCTCACTATATCTTTTATAACCAATAAACAGTATGCACAATGTGACAATCTTCACAAGTCATGCAAAAAAAAAAAAAGAAAAACTGCTTTAATTACATGTTGGCCATATTTCCTAAACTAATGTTCCATGGAAATTTAAAACTTAAGATGAATTTTAAAAAGCAATTTAAAAAGGAGTTCTATAGTCATATAACCTTGGAGAATGGTGGGATAAACTTAAAATTAACTTTTTATTGCAAGTCATATGAATCTTTAATATACTAATACCTGTTAGGAACCACCAAAGGTGGTATGTCCTAAAGTTCTTTTACCCCCGATCTTTGATGGGACACCTATTCATACCTTGAAAAACACATTGGAAAGTACTGCTTTATAGGTACACCTTACATATACTAAACTATTCAGTAACATTATACATTGTATACTTTGATATAGCTTTTCTTCTGAGGCATTGAAAAATGTTTGTTTAAATCCACTTAAGCACAATATGTTGGGTGAGAAAAGGAAGCCTCAGAACATCAAATATTGTACTGCAGTTGTTTTAAACACACATATATGTGTGTGTGTGTGTGTGTGTATGCCAAAAAAAATCTAGAAGCTGTAAAAAAATAATAAAATATATCCTTTCTATAACCCCTGAGGGATCATTTAACCATTTTAAGGATGGTAAAATTTCTGTGTGTCAAAAACAATTACATTTCTAAATATCTTTAAAGTTATACCTTTTAAACTGGCAGCAATCTGGATTTCAGAACTAAGGTAGCAATATTAAGTTATAGCTGAAAGGACTTTTACAAGTATTTTATTTATTTCTCTTCTCCTTGATTGGGGCACACTTAAAACTCTGTCATATATTGCTTTTAAAAATATTTCCAGCAAGATAAGCTTCCTGACTTTTAGGGTTCCACAGAAAGATTTCTTCAAGTCCAAAATCAATCATCCATTATAGTTCTTACTTGTCACCTATTACTTTAGAACTTTTCAGAAAAGAATGATTACTATCGTCCTAAATAGTATCTTTTCAGAACTCTGTGTGTGCGTGTGTGTGTGCATGTGCATGTGTGTGTGTGTGTGTGTGAGAGAGAGAGAGAGATGATACATTTTACATAAAATCTCACCTTTCTAATGTGTAAGTCCTTGATGAATTCCATCACAGCTTGTCTGTTGGGGAGTATTTGGTATTGTCCATTTGGTTTATTCTTATCACTGCATACTTTTGCTAACATTGCATTTGGGGCAATGCCTTAAAAGAAGAACACTCAGATGATTCAAATAAGTTGATATGTATGATTTTAATATATAAGATGACAATACAAAAAATATTAAGTGAAAAAAATCTGAAATGATGTGGAATACTACTTTAAAACTAGCATTTGATTATGATCCATCTCCCCAGAGATTGCTATGATTTTAGGAAAATGAATTGTATTAGTTATTGTGGCAGCAGAAATGAATATTTAAAATTCCATTTTCAAGTCTAAGAGTAATTTCAGACTTTGTGACACTATTAGTTTACTTATTATTATTAGTAATTATTTTTGTTCTTCAAAGTTCACTTGGAAAGGTACACAGGGCTATCTTTTAGAAAAGATCCAGAATATAATTTAGGATCGACGTTTACTCTTTGAAAAGATCTTTTGTATAGATTACCCACATAAAGAAAAAGAAAAAAACAAGGTTCTGGGTTCAGTATATTTAAAACAATAATGAAATGTGTGCATCCTTTTTCTGTTACAAAGCAAATTAGTACTCTTCAGAAAGGTGCTTTACAATTTCTAGGAATCTTAATGATTAAGATAACTTAAAGTTCGTTTCAGTTATTATAGACATCTTCCTAAAATTTATTATTTATTCTCATGCTTCGGTATAGAAAGAAAAGATTAACCTAATTATATTATGGCTTTTATAAGATAACTCAGGGTCCTCATGATGAATATCATTTCTACGTTAAGACACAATGATACCCTCATATGTGTTACTGACACATGTCAAAGCTCTTTTCTCTTGCTATATTGCCAGTTGGTGTTTCTTATGTTGCTATATTGCTAGCTTGTGGTCATCTGGGGTCTCTCTTGCACTGTAATCATGGACAGGGTTGACACCTTCAAAGGGAAAACTAATTTTTATGTCCAAAACCAATTACAATACATTTTGTGCTTAAAAAAGGATAGCTACATGAGATTTATGATAGCCTTTCCTTTGGGCTTATAGGTTTTTCTGCTTAATTCCAATTTACCTGTAGGTTCACAGCATTCTGAATAGGTAAAGTTGTTAGAGACAGAATGAAAAAAAATGGTTAAGTAAAATGTTATTATATACTTTATAATGAGAAACTACTAATATTCTACTTGAATTAGCCAGTCTGAAAATTCTAACTATTGTTAGCCCTCAGTAACCTTTGAAGTACCTGCACTGGCTGTCAGTGTGGTTTTTTGCTCGATTCTGAAACGAATTTCCTTTACCACTTCCTCAGCCGATGTTCCAAAAACAACTGAGTTTTGAAGTATTTGAGGATTATTTTGTTCTTCAAAGTTCACTTGGAAAGGATTTCCTGAGGGTTGCAAATCAGGAGGAGTATCTTCAAAAAGTAGCGGAGAGATGGATCGTTCATTCTCACTCAGTGTACTAACTTCCTTTCCTGGCTTATCTAAATTATAAACAGGAACAATAATTCATCTTCCACTTTAAGAAGTACATACTTCATAAATTAGGTTTCCCTATATTATTTCTAAAGACAAAACAAATATAATGTAATTTTGTTTCAAAGAACCAAGATCAGAAATGTTATAATTTATATTTTGTAATTTTTTAATAAAGAAAATACTGATTCTAAGTTTTTCATAAAAAGAATATTATCCATTTCTATAGTATATATTTTAAAAGGAAATATCCTATGTAAAACTCACAAATTTTTTTATCTGTGTTAATCAAAATCCAGAATTGGGCTTACATTCACAGTACTTTTTTCTTAAAAAAAAAGATGAAAGATTTTTTTCCCTTTACCTATCTCTGGGAGGAAAAAGAATCTTTGGACCTATTTAAATTAGTATTTAGGAATGGGGAAAAAGGCATTAAATAGTCAAGAATAATTATACCTGAAAAATAAGTTTTGTTGTTAGAGGGAAAGAAACCTAAAATTTTCTTCATTCTGACTTTAATTTTGACTCATTTTGAAAGTATCACTGTTACTAAGGGCACATTTGAAATAAATAGAAATTATTTCTGAAAGTTATACTTCTTTAAATATACAAATTCTTAAGGTCTGATCAACCATGGTGCAGGTTTAAGGGAAAGAAGCCTTTATTACTGTCAGTAGGCTGTAAATTAATATTACTATCAAAAAGTAAATTAAGAAATACCAATCTGGTTATTACCTCATTTTATTTGCATTTTTCATAAATGGACTGTAAAATTAAATCTATACTGATACTAAAAATGTCCTCATGAACAAATCCATTACTTTACTTTCTGGGCTTAATGAAGGAGAAATGCAGTTTAAATTTATTTATAAAAACTAAGATTAACAGCAGAGCTTTCTGATCCCATTTCATAATTTTATTACATATAAATATTTTCCAAATTAAGGTAAATGCAGAAGCAAAAATTTAATTTCTAGTTTCAAGATACATATAAATGCATATTACTTTAAAAATTAACTTGGACTTTTAGGAAGATTTTCTAAAGATAATATAAATATGACAAACACCTGATTAGTTTCAAATTTTAAAGTATGGAATATGGATTAAGTTACAGAGATTTTCCAAATAAGAATTCCCAGGCCATATACAAAATAAGCCTTATTTTCAAATTTATATTAGCTGTTACTTATGTGTTTCAGTTCCTTTCATTTTCCATTTTCTAGTTTAAAAATGCAGAGCAATTCAGAGAGGATGAAGACTGTGGCACAGCTGAAATGGTGTCTGCCTGGAGCCACTTTTCCCCAACTGGATGGGTGGAAGTCAAAGTAAACACAGTTACCGAAAAACTATAGGCCAAGCAAGGTAACTGTCACATTCATAAACCCTTTCTGCGGAGTACCTTAGGCCACGTTTTGTACTTCAGGCTTCTCTCACCCCACCCTCAGGTAAGCCCCTGGGGTAGAACACTGCAGTAGGAAGCAAGTATGACCTTCACAAGCTCACTGTGAGAGCTGCTCCTGAATGGCAAGTTACCATTTCAATCTGTCTGCTCTATGAGGCTTGGCTATGCATCTAACTGCTAAAGAGGTTTCTTACTTGCTTTCTGAAAGAATTATCTTTGTAATATTTATACTGAGGTGATCTAAATATAAAACTAAGGTTTCTTACAATCCAAAACTTTATAAACAGAACTGTCTCTGCTGCATCGTTTTCCCTTGGGACAGACAGGAAGCTGATTGGGACAGTCCGGACCAGAATCATCCCTCATGACCAGTATGAGATGGACTGTTCTGGGATATGTGTGATTTTTAGATATACTTATTCCCCCCTTTGAGTGTTGTGTGGAAGGAAATAGCAAAATAAACTGTGTGATTTGTGCAACCGTAAGGGTGTTAAGCATTACTCCATCGCCCTGCGGATCCATACTTCCTGACCCGCTCATGTCACTTACATTTCCTGGCACCCATCATCCAGATTTATAGAGCAGAATAAACATTAAATAATAATAGTTATTTTATTTGTATATAGACATGTTAGTTAGCAATACTTTTCCAAAGACTGCACATTTTAGCAAACAGTGAAAAACTGTCTTGGTTCAATTTAGAGGAAGATTTATCAAGCAACTACCACGGCTCCGACACACTGTTGAAAGCTTCCCATGGCATAACATGCCATCAGATACGCCTGTAAGTGCAGCCCACAGGTATTCATATATGAGAAAAACGAACTATTTAAATTGCTTAAGAATACAAAATATATAAAGTGTAAAGTATATAAATAAGTGTTAATAGCAATAGGTAATAAAAATACACATCCTTATAGTGAGTTTGGACATATTATAATAAATGGAAAGAACAATAGAAAATGAAAACATTTGCTTTAGTCTCAAAGTAATGTTTAAAAAACATCTTGTGAAAGTAATTGCTATAGAAGACTCTCAGAGGATGCTTTGACATAACTATACAATGGTATTATCTCCCCTACCCTGTCCCTGACTTTTGTGAAAAGGAAAAAGTGAGATTTTAAGTAGTGACATCAGTCTTTGTGTGCCACTTATCCAAACGATAAAGTTATACTAAGGGCAAACCTTTTGCTCCAAGCCTTTGTGTCCAGAAATTATGCTTATTTATTGTCTAATGTTTCTACTAAAGAGAGAGATTTACCCCCTTAGAGCTCTAAATAAGGTAATGAGTTAACTAAACTTAAATCAAACTTGCTCCAAATATCTTAAGCTTGCTCCGAGGATCTGAGCCACTAAGTAAGAGAATTTTATGCCATTGAAGATCTAGCATTTTTGCTTCAGGGAAAGTTACAAACAGGTTTCCTGACCATTGCCTGGTCCTCTCTGAAGCAGTCAATGAGTTGTGCACAAACCCTCTGTTTCTACCTTTTCATCTGGGTGAACTTTGCTCAGGGGTCCGGAACAGCTCAGACATTTGAAGTAATCATGCCTCTGACAGGGTTAAAAGCAGTGTGTGTAATATCTATCTGCTTGTCTCTTGGTATTGTTTTGGATAGATAATAAAGGAACTGACATAGGCAGCATAGTTTAGGAAAAGAGCCAGGCCCTGGGTGAGTCAAGAATAGCTTGAGGCCAGTTCACATGGCCAGCTGGCAGAACAGGTTAAGTAAAAATGAACCAGCTAGATTTTAGGAAAATAACTGATGGCAAAAAAGAATGCAGTTTCTAACTGGCTCAAACCAACTAGATGCTGGATGGGTAACAAAAATAACTTACAGGTGCCCCAAAGCTCATTATACACTCATTAGCATACTAAAAATCACACCCCTTGGCACTGTAACAGTTCCAAAGCTGACCATATCAGGACAAAAAAGAGGGTACAGCTCCTTTTCCCTCCAAATCCTCTTATTATTCTGAGAAAACACCATCTATCCTGATGACTATTCCACCCTCTGCTTAAACTCCAGCCATAAGACCACCCAATCCGAATTTCACTGAGCTGCTCATCTCCCGAGCATGCCCACACTCCCACTTTGAGTGTGTACTTCTGCTTTATTAAACTACTCTTTGCTTCCATCTGCTCGACCTGCTCATGAATCTTTCCTGATCAGTCAAGAACCCTCTCCCAGATTGAGGTCTCAACTAGCCCAGATGGTACTGACAACAGTATGTTAAAAGCTAATTTAAAAAAAAAATCTATTTTCTATTAACAACTACAACAGAATGCCTTATTCTGCAGATAACCTCCTCAGAGTCAATGCATTCTAACCTTTTGTTGGTCAGCTCTTAGGAAGATAACCGCTATGAAACTTTGTTTAGGGACTCTGCATACTATAATAGTCTAGAAAATTAATAATCTCATTTGGCTTAAAAGTGACATTGCACCCATTTCCCAGAAAATGTGGTTTAAGTTTCTGATTTTTCATTTTTAATAATTTTTCATAATTAAGGTATGTCTAGTCCTACCACCTATGCACGCTAATGAGTTAACTGGGTTAATACAAAGGGTTTTTCATTTATTTTTTAGTTGATTATTCTAGTAAATTGCTTACCATTTTCTAGGGAGTTCCCTGCTTTTATGAAATACTTCCTTTTGTCCTCAGGCCAATTCTGTCTTTCTTGTAAGTGTTTTGTTATATTCAGGTAGGCCTCATCAAGACTCATGGCCATAAAATTGGGATCATAATCAGCAAGTATTTCCTTAACCTTCAAAAAGAAAAAATTGTTTAAATTTTGCTGCCAAGCAAAACCTATCATACAGTTTTCTTACATAAAGATCTTTTAATGTCGAAATCTGTCATATCACAGCTGGTAAGAAACAATATTCTTTGCAACTATAGTAATGATCCTGCAATCAACAGCTCATGGATTTAAGGAATAAATAATTTACTTCCAGGGCAAATTCATCCGAATTCTCCTCTGTATTAAAACAGATCATGAAGGTAGAAGACCATGAAATAGCTTCATTTGATCCAATCTCCATTTAGCTACCTATATTTAGATATAGTGACACAAATAAATCTCAGAAAACATTATTTTAGCAGAAAAAATGGGTAAGCAACATAATTTTAGGTAGCTGGTCAAAAGTAGAAGTGGGAACAATAAGATCCCCCTCCCCCTCACCTTTTATAATGGATTTTGTTAGTTTAAAAAAGGAGAAACTCATATATAGGGACCACTGTTTTAGAAAGTAGTTCTATTTCAATAAATTATAATATGCACATGAACCTCCACTCAATACACATATTAATGAATGTATCCATTCAGAAAACAAAGCTCAACTATTGGGGTCTAAAATAGAAAAGATAATGAAATCTGTAGTGTAAATCTGTGACTACATTAAATGATGGGGAAAAGTCTGGAGTTGCATCTTGGGATAAAAGAAATACATAAAAAGATCAGAATCTCTGTATGAGTCTAGAAATGTCTTTTATATACAATAGTTGTATTATATGATACAATGAATATATTTTAACCATCGAAGTGTTAGCTGAAATTAGATGAAATGGTTGACAAAATAACATGTACATGAGAAAAACATTTGTTGAATTGTGTTATGTTTACATCTAATATTTAAATGCTGTCTGTTGCATCATGAGCAAACCTTTTTTGATGTTTTATAAAAAGAAAGCTTTTTAGCTTCATTTAATTACAAGCAGCTGAGTCAAAGGTAATTTTAGAAAATGGTGACATGAAACTTGGCCAAGCTTTACTCAGAATACCTTAATTAGCTTTGTTCTTGTAGAAGAAACCATTTTTATAATGTACTCAAATGGAATCCTTCTAGTGTAAATAAAATTCTGGAAAGTCTATTTGGCAGCCAAGTAAGATTATTCTGAATGAGAAGCACTCCCTAGAGACACTGAATATCCACTAACTTCCTTTACATAGGACACTGCTTTCAGAACAAAAATAGACATGTTCCAGTAAAAATCAAGCACTTAGGCTTCAAGAACAGTTAGTTATTCCATTCTTCTGAATAAAACAAAACTGGCTTTTCCTTGAACTTTTAAACCAAGCCATAAATATTAATGCATTTTTTATTCAGTGAATTTGTGCTATAATTCACTCACACCTAAGAACCCATTTGTTATCCGCAAATAAAATAGCTAGAGCCTGCTCAAATTTGAAGAGAGATTTCTCCAACTTATGTAAATAACTAGACTAAAGATAACTAAAAACAATTTAGTTCTTGTTGTCAAAAATTTTACTGAGTTAGATAGGATTTAAAAATATGCTTTCTTACAAAGTCGTTGAAGGATTTTCAAACTTATTAAAAGCCTATAATATTTATGGTTAGCATTTTATCTCTTTCCAATTAGTAATCCAGTAAGAGATAAGCAGTAACCACATGTAAATATGCTCTCTTCTCCCCACCATGTTTTCAGAGGCAGGCACACATGCACTTGCTTCCACAGACTGTTTTTGAAAGAACAAAAAAAAAATTCTTTTAAATTTGGGGTGGGGTATCAATTTAACTTAGGGGGCTTCATTTCTCGGGGAAATTGGATAGAATATAAATAAAAGGAATGAGCCTAAAGACCATTTGCATGAGTGAATGGTAATAAATGCTAGGCCATAGTGTTTTAAGTGACTCAATTCAGTCTTTAACAAACTACATTTTACCACAGTAGTCAAAAAGTCTTTGAAGTAGTATTTTATTTATGACTTAAGTTTTAACACTGGCAGGATAGTCCAGTTGTTATCAAAAACAGAGAAAATGGCAATTTTTCATATATGACAACTTAGGCAATTTTAGTGAATAATCAAGTCTTTATATTTGATATCTTTTTCAAAGCAATGGATTATTACCTTTTTTCTTTGACTTATCAGTCTCAGACATTAAATGCTCGTAAGCATTGTCACTAGATTGTGGGGTATGGAAAATAATTATTCAAATAAGTACCTTTTGTTGCTATTGCAAAGATTTTTATAAATTTATTCAGAAACAAGGTTGAAATTAATGACGAGTACATTCTGTAAATTATAAATATATAGTGATTCTAGAAGAAAATATTTATCACACATTAAGAAAACAGAGTGAGTTATTTTAGGTTATAATTAAGTCAATTCAAAGTTTTCTGGGGAGATAAGAGTTTCCTAAGCAGGTAAAAAAAAAAAAAGCATGTAGAAAAGCAAAGAACTGGGAAATAGAAGAGTATATTCTGGATGCCATATGCAGTTCATATTCAATATATAAGTTGAAGTAATAGGAGGTAAGACATAAAGGGATAAGCTAAGGCATTTGGACTTGACCGCAGATAACAGGAAATCAGTAAAAGGCTAAAAGTAGGGGTAAGAAAGACATCACACTTACCTCTCTACTCACAGCTTGGTATTTATCAAAGTTCGGGGGCACTATAATAAGTTGTGGGCAGAGTCTTTTAGCAATAAATCCTGGCATGGCTGCACGAACACCAAACCTCCTTGCATGGTAATTTGAAGTAGTCTAAAAAAGAAAGAACCATATGGGAAAATATATACAAACCAAAATGGATGTATTGATGGATGCACTCATAAGAAACACACTACTGATGTGCATTTTCAATTCAAGGACATTTCTTTTATAGGCCACTATCTCAATTCAAGCTTTGCCTTTATCGTATCATAACACCATAACATCTCATGGTATTATGGTGTCATGACCCCCTCCCACTGCTATTTCTATTATAATGTGACACCAGATAATAAGCAAAACTGTGCTAATAAAAAAGTTCTCTTACCTTTCCAGTAACTAAACATTATTGGTTTTAGGGCATACCAATAAAGCAGTATATACCAAAGTTTGGAAGATGGTGGTGATGTTACATGAAAGTAATAGTATAGTAACAGTAAAGTGTAGCTATAAAGAATATTATAGTACAAACAGTATAAATGATACATGAAGGTAATATATATATATTTACTATAAAGTATATATAAAGTATAGAAGTGATATAAAGCATAGAAAGTGATAGTATAGCATGATAGTACAAATTTGGAATTTGCTCTATTTGGAATTTTATAAATTTTTCATCTAAAATAAAAATCAAAGGCCTAATATGTAGTCAGCCAAAATAAGTCTCAAAAATGAAGTAGTTAAAGCTTAAAAGAACTTTAAAAACTAAATTTTGTTTCTTAAGGCTTGAAAACCTTTTTTGGTGGAAAGGTTTTGACTATGAGATGAAACTAAAAATTATAAGAGTAAAAAGGAGAATATTATTTATTAGATTCTGTTGATGATGATACCTGACAACTGTTCATGTTAATGTGGTAGACAACAGTACCATTTACAAAAGTTTTATCATAACTGGAACTTTTGGAATCTCAGGTGAAAATTTCAAGAAATGCCAAACAGAATCTATCAAATGAAGGGATTATAACAGAATAATAATATCAATCTGCCATTAGTGGTTTTCAAATGACATTTTGGCATTTAACAAATTCTGATATATTTCAAAACTATGCTGATTCTTGGTCAGTGTTCTGGAACAGAAAGTGCAGATAGCATTAGAAAGACAAACCAATGTTTTAAATATCAGTCAATGAAATTGATTTTAAAAAAGCCAGATCTATAGTAGAATAGCAACAATATTTTAGATATTACTTCTTTTAACTTTCAGGTTTGTAGTAGATTGTAAGTCACAGCCACAGTATTTTATAGTTCCTCCTATCAAAAAGTGGGCTCTAGTTCTTCATGCCAAGTGACTTGCATTGTCACTTGCTTTGATCAAGAGAATGTAACGAGCGACATTATGTGAGACCTGAAGCCTAGGTACTAGGAAGTCTACAGCTTCTGCTTTTGCTTTTTGGGGATCTGGCAACAGTGTAAAGATCTTGAATTAGATTACTAAATGATGATGTACAATGTGGAGAGGGGAAAGCTCAATGGCTGGAAGCCATTCCAGCCACCTTGTCAAAGTGTCAGGCATGTTAGTGAAGCCATTTTAGACCCTCTAGCCTCAAGTAAATAGCCCTGGCCAACCCTAGGTAGAGTACAGATGAGCCATCCTCACTGTACTCTGCTCAAATTACAAAATCGTGAGCAAATAAATGGTTGTCCACTAAGTACTGAAGGGGTTTATTATACAGCAATAACTAACAGTTACAAGGTCTAAGTTTTAACTATGAGTACTTAGAACTTTCAGGGCTCCATTAAATTCATCAAAAAAGAGTAAAACTGTAACAGACTAGAACAATAAAACATGTACCATCACCACCATTAATTTGTAGATACACTTTTATGAGTTTAATAGCACAAAAACAATTGTGTTTCAAATCTCATTAGAAGGGAAATCTATCAGCTCAGCATACAAAAGGAGTATAATACAGCAAACAATCATTTTGAATTTAGAAACAATAACCAATTTTTAGGAGGACAGAAATTATAGGAAAGAAAATATTTTTGTGGACTTGGCAGTGGGTTTAGCTTTAATATGGCAACAGAACATGTGCATGTGTATGTGTAGATATAAACATACACATACACATATATACAATTTCACATAAATATATTTATGTGACATATATTCTTAATAAAAGTAAGGTTTTTTTTTCTTCAAATATTAGCTGATGATTGCAAGAAAGGGGATATTCTTTCAATGAACAGTTTTGGTACCAGGATTATTAGCTGCCTGTATATTCATAGGAGCAGAGATAAAAAACAAACAGATAACAGTTTTATGATAAAATAGTAACTCAGTAGGAATTAAGTTTATAGTTATCTAAGGACTTTAGGACTTCTTTAGAAGGAGTCTGTAACAGGGATGAACTTTCCTTGTTTCTCTTGTATGTTTTTTAAATTCTAAAACCCATCTATTCCAGTTGCTATTTTTAATTCTCAGCACATTTTTAGCTACATACAACTATCCTGGTCATTTTTACCTTCTGTGGTTAAGGTGGCAAAAAAGAAGAGCAACATTGTAATCAGATAAGCAAAAGTTCTAAGTCAAGGGGAAAGTACTTAATTACAGTAATATATTAATGAAATATGTTACTCTAGAACTGGGGTTGGCAAACCATTTCTGTAAAGGTCCAGATAGTAATTACTTTAGGCTTTGCAGACCATATGGTCTCTGTTGCAATTACTCAACTCAGTTCTTTTAGTGCAACATAATAAATTAATCGGTGTGACTGTGTTTCAATAAAATTTTATTCATAAAAAAAGGCAGCAGGCTGGATTTGGCCTATAGGCTATTGTTTGCAAACCTCTACTTTAGAATAACATTTCTTTTCTTTCTTCTTCAATTCCCTTTAACTGAACTGTTACTTGAGAAAAATGTGATTTGCAACAGAAAGATGTAAGGCCACTCTACCATTTACCAGGTTTATGACTGTAGGTAAGTTATTAAACACCACTCTGAGTTTGTTTTCTTATCTGTCTAAAGGAAATAAAAATTTGTACCTCAAGTGATGTTGAAAGGATTCAGTAATTGAACACACACAAAGCACCCAGAAAAACACTTGGCAAACTGGTAGAACTCAATAAAGACTTTCCCTCTCATGACAGTAAGGTTTACTTGAATATATTATTAAATTTCCTTTTTGTCTTTGCTCTTTACGTACTTACCAACATACTCATTGATCCTACAGCAATGGGTTTCTCCTTCAATTCTGGATTGTCTCGCATTTCCACAGCTGCATAGAAAGCATCCATGTCAATGTGTACTATGGTACTGGTCAGATCCCGGCTCTGCTCTAATTCCATTGCAACTCTGTCAACCTTAATTTTAAAGTAGTTAACTTTTAGACAACATAGCATTGAAACAACAGTAATCTTATTTTTAGTGGAATCTCTCTGTACAGTCAACAGCCACTCACCTACCTACGCATATTTGATTTTTGTTTATTGAGGCTGATAAATCCATCTGTTTTCATGAACATAGGAAATCTGTTCTGTAAGTATCAAACCCTACCAACTCTCTCATCTCTCAATACCCACAAGTATATAATAGGTGCTTAGCAAATATTTGAATGAATGAGCTATTCCAACTGGTTGTATCAAATGATTCTATTGCCTTATGAGCTGGAGAACAACTTTGTGTAAATAAAAGTTTCAGTTTAGGTAAAATAAACAGCAATTCCCACCTGATTTATAATACTAATATCTTAAAATAACAAAGGATATGTTCAACAAAAGATGATACTTCTTTGGCATATGTTGTTTATGCTGAGTAGTACTATACAACTGAATGTACCAAATCCAATATAAACATTCCCTCTGTAGAACTGCTTTTAGAAGGCTAAAATTTGATCATTGTTAGTCTATACAAACCAAAATAGAAAATTTAAGCTGTAATTTATTTTCACAAAATTTCAATATATATGCCAAATATAACAGAGAAGAATCTCAATTTTTAAAGAAATTTTTCTCCAGAGAGGAAGTTGGATTGATAAGAGAGAGAGAAGAGAAACAAAAAAAGGTAAAAATGACTAAGGTAGGGCAGTAAGAAAGGGGTTTATGTAGCAGACATACCCATTCCCAAGTGTTGCTTTTTTGTAGCCTCTACTATAGAGGCTGAAAAAGTGAAATACGCACTTTCCCAGCTTTTCCTCTAACTCAGGGTGAATGTGTGACTATTTTGATCTATGTAACATATAAGGAAGTCAGTCAGACCATTAAAGTAAAATAATGAGATAACAGAAGAAAGCTATTGAATGAGATGGAATACATGGACAAGTAGCTGGCATATGGTACAAGTTTAATAAATGCAATTTGTTACTAAAAGGATCAAAGGATACCTGCATAACAAAGCAATAAAAAACAGCCAGAAATAAGCAAGTGGGGTGAGTTCTGAAATGAAAGCAATTTCCATTGTGTGGAGATCCCTATAGCTGGTTTCCTCAAAGGTGGAAAATTAAAGGGGTATAATTTAGGTTTTTCCCCTCTTGGATTTGTACCTTTCAAAGTTCCATTTTGCTGAACTTATTTTCAACAGCTTCTTTTTTAGCATTAGAGTGGCATTAGCTGCCCACAAGATGCAAGTTAAGACCTCAACTCCTCTTTTAAAAACTATAACTCTGAATCCTATTTGTCTCTAGTAGCCACAGTGAGACTTCTCTGGAGGGTGTGCTCTTGTTTAGGCTGCCCTCACTAAAAGACTTGGGGTGCTCTGTGCCTTCTTCAGGCTGTTCTTCTGTGTACAATGCCCTTCCTAGTTCTGTCACAAAGTCTTTAAGGATCAGCTCGGAGGTCTCTCTGTAACTTATTTGGATCTCTGTCCTCCCCATCACAGAATCAATGTTCCCTTATTTGTTTTCCTGATCTTACTGTGGCACTTATTGTACTAGATTATACTGTGAGTTCCATCAGAAGAAAGACCCTATCTACTTTTAAATTCTTTCCTCATGAGAGAAAGGCAGGGAAGACTCATAGGAAAGAAGTAATAAGATTTATACTGATGTCTTTCTATCTATCTTTCTGGTTAAAAGAAAGCAGTATTTGTAGAAAAATTTTGCAGAAGGCTGATCTCATGCAATGAGATACCACAATAATAAATAGAACTTTTCAACATTACTCCAATTTATCATATAGATTTAACACAAGTATTTCTTCTAGTACCTCAATTCTAAATGAGAAAATAGTATTGTGATACAGAAAAAGATATAAATAAATAATTGAGATTAATAAAAACAAGGTTAGATTAAAAACTATTCTATATTAACATGGAAAATATACCTAAATTATGAATTGATTGAGAATAAGGGAGCAGCATCTGAAATACCTTAACATACATACACTGGAAAGGAAAAATAAATAGAAAGCATTAATGCTATGACAGTTTCTTTAGCAATCAATCTATTCTCTTCTCTGTGCTGGCAGCAAGTGTACAGTTGCCAAAAGGAAACCCCCTCACTGAATGACTCATACCTTCTACTCTTTCCATTACTATTTTTCATTAGTCAACCTTGCCTGAACTCTTTACTTTCTACATCTAGCAAATGCACACAACTGTTCCTTTCAAGTTTCTTCTGTTGAAATCCTCATTTGTGTTTTCCTTTCCTCCATTTTTTTTCTTACAAATGACTTTGAAATTCTGATCTGAGTCTCTGACAGTATGTCATGCCTTTTGCTACAGTTCAGAACCAGCATGTGTCACAATGAATAAGAACAAGGGGTGTGGATCTCAGCTCTGCCACTCATTAGTGACATGAAAGTGGAAAATTAACCCTCTTTTCCTTACTTTCCTTATTTGTAAAGTAGGACTAAATCAACCTCAAAAGGCTGAAACAACTGTAAGAGATACTCATGTAGTATACTTATCCAGGGATATAGTAAGAGCTTAATGATATTATCTATAACTTTAAAAATAGAAGTGACATTTACTTAATATATTGTATGTATCATTTTGTGGTAAACTGCAGAATTTCCAGAATCTCCCACCTAGCCTTAGTTCATTTATATATCAATAGGTATTTACCACTGCAGAGCCTCCCATCCATCTGGGGCAGGAGGTGGAGAGGAAATTGGCCATTCTCTCCTCCCCTCTGTTCCTGGTACATAACTAACTGGTCTGGTGTCTGCCACTCACCAAGGACCTGCCAACGGGGTTCCTCCTGGAAGAGGTGGGTGGGAAGTAGAGAGTACACCAAGAGAGAAGAGCATGAGCAGTGGCCAGAGGAGACAGTTGGGCTGGGCCTAGATAGCAAATTCGAGCAAGTTGTGAGCAATAAAAAATGGTTTCTCCCAACCTACCTTTTCCCTTTACTTGTTTTGGTTTCACTGGTTTCATAGGGGATTCACCCTGGGCCAGGAACACTCCTCCCCCTAGAGCTACAATCATATAATATGCTAAATGCTTCTTATGTTAACTCATTTAATGGTCAAGATAATACTGATATTATTATTCCCATTTTATAGATGAGGAGACTAAAGCTCAGTAAGATTAAGTTTGCCCTAAATCATACGGCTGGTAAATGTTAAAATAGACCCCAAAGCCTGTGCTCTTTCCAATACTTTATGATGCTTCCCTAAAACAGATTTTAAAAAGTCTTTAACATTGAGTAAACTCAAACCAAACTCGAATGGTATATTTTATATCCACATGATATTTATTTTTTTAAATCCCTTTTAAAAAAATTACATTTAGGAGACTATTTCAGAAACCTTGTTTTTCATTTTCTTGATTTAGTATTACCCTAAAAATTATTGAGTAAATCAGAGTTCAAATAAAATCAATGTTAAAATGTTCAGTATGCACTGATTTGCTGTGTAGTTGCCATTTAATATAACATTTGTCTATTCAACTTATGAACCCATATATAATATGGTGTTTTGGCAGCTACAAAAATGTGCCTTCAATAACTCACAATCACAATATAAGCTGGTCACAGGGAGGGTAGTACAGCATGGAAAATATAGTCAGTTATTCTGTAACATTTAACTATACTGAAAGATTGTAACTGTACTAGAAGGGGTGCAGATTTAATAATATGGGTAACTATTGAACCACTGTGCTGTATATTTGAAATCAACATAAGATCGTATATCATTGATACAGCCACTAAAAAAAAAAGCACAAGGAATTAAAAAAAATGTGCCTTTAAAAGGTCTAAAGGATGGGATAGAGTATACTTAAGAGAGGTTCTGAATAAACAACATGGAAGTTCATGCTTACAGAGATTAGTTATCTCAGCTTGACTAGCTATAGTTCATATTATCTTATCACACATAATAAAACCTATTATTTGGAAATTTTATGATGCCAAAATAGAAGCACATTTCCCACCAAAATCTTTCTCTCCTCCCAGATATTCTAGACTCAGGACTTCCTCAATCCCCTACCAATTATACTTCTTTTTTACGGAAGTGAAACAAATGAAACAATTTAACAATCAACACAAAACATTTCCACAGGAATTTCCCCTTGCAGGAGATGTCAGAGAGACTCTCAAGAAATAGTCAACTAAAACTGGAACAAAATCTAAGATTCTGCTAAACAGTGTAAAGTATTTTCTATTCCTTCAGATTAGCATATTTAAAGATATTAAGCTGCAAAAATAGTATAAAGAGTGAAAAATTATTATAGTATATCACTCATATGTATTATATCTTTAAAATTTTATTAAAGATATTTATTGACTATAGATCAATAAAACTTACTGAGGTCCAGAAAGTAAACTAAGAATTAATATAAATTTAAAAACAATGTTATTGTGGTCAGAATGGAATTTTTTTTAACATGATGAAAAATGCTTAAATTTATTTGAAAGAAACAATGCAAGAGAAAAAAATATTTTAAGAAAACATTAGTGAGGGAACATTTTAAACTATATTATCATCATTCAATAATTAAAATTACATGGTAATGATACAGGTAATGATTCACCTGATTAGAAGAAAGTGTTCAGAAACAAATGAATGCACAATGAAAATTCAGTATATGGAAGTGCCTTATTTCAATTCAGTAGAGAAAGGATTCATGATTCAATAAATGTTATTGGCATAAGTGAATCAACATTAATAATAAAATAATACCATTTAGGAAAATAAAATACCATTTAAGAAAAAAATCTCACATCTTACATTAAAACAAATTCCAAATGGACTAAAGATTTGAATATATCAAAATCTATTAAAATACTAAAAACACACCAATAAATGGAAATACATCCTGTGCTCAGAGATAGGAAGAATTAATATTGTCAAAATGGCCATCCTGCCTAAAGCAATCTACAGATTCAATGCAGTTGCTATCAAAATTCCAACATCAGTCTTCAATAAACTAAAACAAATAGTTCTAGAATTCATATGAAACCACAAAAGACCCCAAATAGCCAAAGCAATCCTGAGGAAGAAGAATAAAGCTGGGGGGATTACACTCCCCAACTTTAAGCTCTACTACAAAGCCACAGTAATCAAGACAATTTGGTACTGGCATCAGAACAGATCCATAGATCAATGGAACAGAACAGAGAGTTGAGATATAAACCCAAACATATATGATCAATTAATATACAATAAAGGAGCCATGGATATACAATGGGGAAATGACAGCCTCTTCAACAATTGGGATTGGCAAACCTGGACAGCTACATATAAGGGAATGAATCTGGAATATTGTCTAACTCCATACACAAAAGTAAACTCAAAATGGATCAAAGACCTGAATGTAAGTCATGAAACCATAAAACTGTTAGAAGAAAACACAGGCAAAAATCTCTTGAATATAAACATGAACAATTTTTTCCTGAACATATCTCCTTGGGTAAGGGAAACAAAAGAAAAAATGAATACATGGGACTACATCAAGCTAAAAAGTTTCTGTACAGCAAAGGACACCATCAGCAGAACAAAAAGGCATCCTAGAATATGGGAGTATATATTTGTAAATGACATATCCAATAAGGGGTTAACATCCAAAATAAATAAAGAACCTCAATACCCAAAAAGCAAATAACCTGATTAAAAAATGGGCAGAGGATATGAACAGATGCTTCTCCAAAGAAAAAATTCAGATAGCCAAGAGGCACATGAAAAGATGTTCCACATCGCTAATTATCAGGTAAATGCAAAAACCACAATGAGATATCACCTCACAGGAGATAAACCAACATCCAAAAGACAAGGAACAACAAATCTGGAGAGGATGTGGAGAAAGGGGAACCCTCCTACACTATTGGTAGGAATGTAAATTAGTTCAACCATTGTGGAAAGCAATATGGAGTTTCCTCAAAAAACTAAAAATAGAAATACCATTTGACCCAGGAATTCCATTCCTAGGAATTTACCCAAAGAAAACAAGATCCCAGATTCAAAAAGACATGCATCCCCATGTTTATCCAGTGCTATTTACAGTTGCCAAGATATGGAAGCAACTTAAGTGTCCATTAGTAGATGAATGGATAAAGAAGATGTAGTACATATACACAATGGACTATTATTCAGCCATAAGAAGAAAACAAATCCTACCATTTGCAACAACATGGATGGAGCTGGAGGGTATTATGCTCAGGGAAATAAGCCAGGTGGAGAACAAGTACCACATGATTTCCCTCATTTGTGGAGTATAACAATGAAGCAAAACTGAGGGAACAAAACAGCAGCAGACTCACAGACTTCAAGAAGGAACTAGCAGTTACCAAAGGAAAGGGGTTGGGAGGGCAGGTGGGGTGGGAGGGAGAAGGGGATTAAGGGACATTATGATTAGCAGACATAATGTTGGGGGGTCACAGGGAAGGCAGTATAGCACAGAGAAGGCAGGTAGTGACTCTATAGCATCTTGCTATGCTGATGGACAGTGACTGCAATGGGGTGTTGGGGGGGACTTGATAATATGGGTGAGTGTAATAACCACAGTGTTGCTCATGTGAAACCTTTGTAAGATTGTATATCAATGATACCGTAATAAAAAAAATACTAAAAGAACATATAGGCTTGGCTGTGAGGAATAACTTTCTTTGCACAACAGCAGAGACAAGAAAAAAAAAATTTTTTTAAATACTGCTGCATTTGATTATATAAACATATAAAAATGTATAGAAAAATAAAAAGCCCCTGTGAAGTTAAAAGACAAACAGTATATTGGACAAATATTTACAACAAAAGACAGAGAAAAATATCCTTAATATATGATAAGCTCTATAAAGCAAGAGAAAAAGATATAAGCTCTTCTAGAAATGCAGGCAAAGGATATTGCTTTGGACTGTTAGCTGAACCTCCAAATCCATTTTCTCTTCCTTCCATAGTAAGATATTTTTATCTGGGCACATGGCCACCTAGCTAGAGCTTTTCTTACAGTTAGGCGTGGCCATGAAACTTATATTCTTGCCAACAGAATGAGAGCTGAAGTACCGTGTGAAACTTCTTTTTCACTTGCTAAAAAGCAAATTACTTGCTTTCATTATTTTCCTCATTCTCCAAGGCTGGAATATGGGCTAGAGGTAATCCAGTTTTGTCAGTTCAGTTAAGGATAATACTAGGGGATGTTGGAACAACACAATGTAGAACCCGGGGTCTCGAAATCACTATGGTGAACAGAAACACCCAACCAGCTAGGACTCTTACCTATTATGTGAGAAAGAAAGAAACTCATATTTGAGCCATTATACTTTTGGGTCTTGTGCCAGCTACTTAGCCTATGCCCTAACAAACAGAATAAATGAGGAAATTACCACAAAGAGGAAATGTTAATGGCTAAATACGAGAAGATATTCTTTTTCTGTCATAATCAAAGGAGGGCAAATTAAGACAAGGAAATAATCTTTTTGGGCAGTATATATCGGCAAAAACTAAAAGACTGATAAAATTAACAAAATCTATTTTAAACAAGTGTGTGAGGAAGCCAGCACTCCTATGCTGAAAATATAAAATGGTACAATCTTTGGTGAAAAAGACAGGATGAGAATGCAGACATATGAATAAGAATGATCATCACAAGGTTGTGTATAAAACAAAAAAGTGGAACCAAGGTGCAGTAAGGTCAATAAATTATGGTAGCTCCATACAGTGCAATGCTATGAAGTATTAAAAATGATGATTTGACTGACAAATCATCTTTTGTAATGACAGCAGACCACTTAACACAGAAGATAAAAAGTTAGCTGGTGCTCTAGGAAGGCATCCCTCAAAAAAAATGACACATTATAGTTTGGTAAAGAAAACATAGAATTTTAATTTCTGATCTCTAATCATGAGAAATTTATAGCACAGTAGATTAATATTGTAATTTTATCATTACATTACAGCCTAAAGTGATTTGTTGATTTGAATCAGATTTTGATGGAGGATAAACTGTTTATAAAACTGTCTTTAGTTTTACTAGCAGAACCTTGACCTCTTTAGGTTCAGTCTACCACATGGTATCCTGCAGCATGGTAGAACTCAAACTTTTCTCCTGAAACAGCTTTTAATACTAGTGAAAACTCAAGTGTTTATTCCCAGAAGATGCTACAGAACTCCAAAGCCCCTAAATTTGGAGAAGCCTTGTGTTTAATCTAATAAGTGCATGAACATTTGGCATTCCACCCTATGACTTTTTTGATTTACTATAACACAGTAACATTTTTAATTAGTTTCTAATATAATGAGTTAACATGTTCCCCCCAATCTTTTTTTGCAAAATCAGCATTTCAGAAAACATGTCACATTTATCTTGTGGCCTGTTTTAATTGCAAAGTATGTATATGATAAAAATAACACAAAATTTGGATTAAATTCTAGCTCTGCCAACTACCCATCATGAACCTAGGCAAGTTATTTAACCTAATCAAGGCTCTACTTACTCTTAAGCATAATAGAGATAACAAAGTCTATGTATGAGGTCTTGATGTAAAAAAGCAGAACAATGTTTAGCAAAGTAAATGGAATGAACATTTTAGTAGGCCTATTTTCAGTTACCATTTTACCTTGCTTTCAGTTATGATTTGACTGTGATGCACTTCAACTGTCACTATCATACCAGCTTCCACTTCATTTGGCAATTTAACTAATACCTGTAACTGTGCTTTCCTTAGCTGCTGGCTAGTAATTTGAGCTTTTTGTTGCATCATATTTTCAATTCTTTGGTTGATTTGATTTTCTTTCTTGAGTTCATTTCCATAAAATCTGGACCCCTGTATAAGGAAACAAAAGCATAAGAAACATGTCTGAAGGAAAACATCACTTTAGTATAACCTGGTGGCTACAAGTACAGAGTCTAGAATCAGAAAGGTTAAATTCAAGACTAAGCTCCACTACTTACTAGTGGGGTGACCCTAAAATTACATAGTCTTTCTATATTTCAGTCACTTTATCTGTAAAATGAATTTATAGTTACCTACATCCTAGGATTGTTGTGAGTACACAATTTGTACAAATTCTCTGAGTACAAGTCTGCACTCAGGAAACAGCAGTGTGTTCGAGCAGAGCCACAGGGCATATCCAAGGCCTTAGCTGGGTCATCAGCTACCTCCTTCACTTTAAAAAATTTAATGTTCTTCATTAAAGAATGTGTAGGCAATAACTTAAAAAATACCCATCATTCCACCACTGAACATAGTATCTACGCATTCATCAGGGTGCTGAAAAAATTTTTCCCTTGTTGGCTATATGAAAAATGCTGCAATGAACACTTGTGTACACGTTCTTGTGTGCACATGTTTTCATTTTGCTTGGATATGTACTTCGGAGTGGAATCTCTATGTATATGGTAACTCCACACTTAACATTTTGAGGAACTACCAGACTGTTTTCCAAGGTAACTGAACCATTTTAGAATCTTACCAGCAAAGTATGAGGGTTCCAACTGCTCCACATCCTTGTCAACATGCTATGGTTTATCTTATTTATTTTAGCCAGTCTAGGCTACAATAGTGTGAATGGCATTTCATTGTGGTTTTAATTTGCATTTGCCCAATGACTAATGAAGTTAGACATTTTTTCTTGTGTTCATGTGAAATGTATTATCTTCTTTAGTGAAATGTCTATCTTTTGCCCCTTTTTCAGTTGGGTTGTTTGCCTTCTTATTAATGAGTTGTAAGAATTCTTTGTATATTTTGGATGTAAGTCCTTTGTCAGATATGTTTTGCAAATATTTTTTCCTAGAATGCTGCTTTTTATTTTTTAATTGTGTCTTTAATAGTGAAATACAAATGTTTTGAAATTTGATGAGGTCTGATTTGTCAACTTTTTTTTATTGACTGTGCTTTTGGTATCATAAGTAGGAAATGTTTGCCTAACCAAAGGTCTCAAAGATTTTCTTTTACCGTCTAAAAGTTTTATTTTAGTTCTTACATTCAAGTCTATTTTGAGTTAAATTTGTATATGGTGTAAGGCAAGGGTCATCTTTTTTTTTTTTTTTTTTTGCATGTAGATATCCAATTGTCCCAGCATCATTTGCTGAACAGACTATCCATCTGCCTTGGTACTTTTGTCAAAAACTCAATAAATTATAAAGTTTTATTTTGGATTCAATTATGTTCCATCATTCAATATGTATAGCCGTATGACAGTACAACACTGCTTTGATAACTGTAGCTTTACAGTTAAGTTTTGAAACAGGAAAGTCAAAGACATCCATGCTTGTTCCTTTTCAAAATTGGTTTGGCTATTTTATGTCTTTTGTATTTCCATTTAAATTTCAGGATCTTGTCAATTTCTGCAGAAAACAGTCCCTGTAATAGTGATGGGGGATTACATTGACTCTATAGATCAATTTGGGGAGAACTCTCCTCTTAAAAATATTGAGTCTCTCATCCTTGAACACAGAAAGTCTCTCCATTTTTTAGATCTTTAATTTCCCTCAGCAATTTTTTGTAATTTTCAGGGTACATGTATTGCATTCTTTTTGAAATTCCATAGGATTTTCTATATGTAAAGTCATGTTATCTGTGAAAGGATAGTTTTAGTTTTTCCTTTCCAATGGAGATGCTATTTATTTCTTTTTTTTGAATGGCTGCACTGGCTAGAACTTTCAGGACCAGGTTCAAGAGAAGAGGTGAGAGTAGACATCCTTGCCTTATTCTTGATTTTAGGGGAAGTGTTTAGTCTTCCACCATAAAGTATGATGATAACTATAAATTTTTTTAGATGTCTTTTATTAGGCTGTGGAAGTTCCCTTCTATTTCAAGTTTAAGAGATTTTTAGCACAAATGGGTGTAGGATCTTGTAATATAGGCTTTTTCTGCATTGATTGAGATAACCATGTATTTTTTGTACTTTATTCTGTTAAAATGGGATATTAATTGATTTTTGGATGTTAAACCACCTTTGCATTCCTATGATACATACCATTTGGTCTTGGTACATATCCTTTTTCATATATTGTTGGATTCAGTTCGCTAATATTTTGTTGGGGGCTTTTATATTTATAATGATCTATAATCTGCTTGTGCAGCTTTGGATCAAAGTAATAGAATGAACTGGGAAGTGTCCCCAACCTCATCATTCTTCCAGAAGGGATTGTGGAATATTGGTATTATTTCTTGTTTAAATGTCAGATAAAATTCACCAGTGAAGCCATCCTGGCCTGTGTTTTTGTTTTGTTTTTGTGGGAAGATTTTAAATTACTGATTTAATTTCTTTCCTTGTTATAGATCTATTTAGATTTGCTCTACCTTTTTAAGTAAGTTTTGGAAAATTTTGAATTTATAGAAATTTGTCCAGTTTATTGTTAAAAAATTTTTTTTAAATTAAAAACAATTAAAAAACATAATTATTTAAAATACTCTACCCTCTACCTCCAAAGTTCAGTAGGGAGATATAAGAAAGATGAAACAATATTTGCAAAAATATTGATAACTGCTGTTGCTAGGATAATGATCACCCAGGGATTCACTTAACAATTCTAGTTTTGTGAATGTTTAAAATTTTCAGATGAAAGTTTTTAAAATGTAAGCATTGCTATGGAGCAGCAACAATTGTGGAGGGGAATTGGGCAATTTATTTAGAAAATTTCAATTTAAAAAACTTATCATTTATGATAACCCCCCCCATACTAGAGGGATATATATTCTATAAAATACATAAATATTTTAATATATATTAATATATAATTTTGTGTGAGGTATGTATCTTATATGATTTATATCAATTATGATATATGTATATGTTTTTTATATAATTTATATATTTATCATATATAAAATTTATATGGAAGAGCAAAGGTTCAAGAATACCAAAGATACTCTTGAAAAAGAGCAAAAAAAAAAAAGAACTTGTTCTAGCAGATACGAAGGTTTATTATAAAGTATTATAATTAAGCTCATGTTGTATGAATATAAGAACAGACAAATAATCCAGAAGAATATAAGGAAGAACTAAAGATCAGCAGGAAAAGCTGGGAGTATTTAATAAGTGGTCCTGGGATGCAGAGAAAGAGAGAAGGTAGAGAAATCTAGGATAACTTAAATATTCTATTTCTTAACCTGAAAACTAGGGTCATAGGTGTTATTATTCTTTTTGAAAATTTTTATGATGAAAATTTCAAAGAAGTCTTAAACAGAAAAACAGATTAGTATAATAAACACATACATAAAACTACCACTGAGATTTAACAACTGCTAACATTTTACTGCATTTCCTTCACTGATTTTTTAAGTGAACTGTTTTAAACTAAATTATAGGTATAATGACAGCTTCCATAAAGTATTTTAATATGCATCCTTAAAAATAAGGCCATTTTCTCATATAATCATAGCAATATTTTCATAGCTAAAATTAACAATAAAATTAATATAACATTAATAATAAAATGAACAATTCCTCAAAATTATTAGTATACTCTCCATATTCATATTCCTCTAAATGTTCCAAATGTATTGTTCAAACCAAATCATCCAATCAGGGTCCGTATGTTGTATTTGCCTATTTCATCTCCTGATTCTCTTTTACTTTTAAAATTTTATCTACATTTACATACTTAAAAAATTATTCCTCCCTTAACTTTTTATTTTGGAATTTCCAAATCTTCCAAAGTTGGAAGAATAGTACAATGAACAGCCATTATGTCCTCACCTAGATAGATATACTAACTGTTAATATCCTGCTACATTTGGTTTCTCCTCCAACCCCTACTCCTATGTATGCACACAGATGTACACACATAACAGTCCCCAACTACTCTACATGCACTCACACAACTGCACATGCACACGCATACCCACACATGTACACACACACACTCACTGTCCCTTCCACCCCCTTTTTGGCTAAACCATTTGAAAGTAAGTTGCTGTGGATATCAGCATGAATTTCATAAGAATAAGCATATTCTCCTAAATCTTTTATGTTTCTGCATGTGTATTTCATAATATGTAAACGAAACCAAAGAGTAGTAGAAAAAAACATTGAAGAATTCTTTCATAACCTTGGAGAACGACATATGTGGTTGACTAATTCAAATACATTAAAAGAAGCAAACAAGAAACTTCTGCACAGTAGAAACCACTGTAAGCCAAGTCAAAAGATAAAAAACAATCAAATGGAAATGTGGAAAGGATAAGAAGGGACAGTTCATAAAACAGGAAATACAAGTGGCTTTTAAACATATGAAAAAATGCACAATCTCACTTTTCATAAGAGAAATGAAAATGAGTGGTACACTGTGTTACTGTAGATTAACAAATCCAGAACTTTAATAACACACTGTATTGGCACCATTGTGGAATAGTAATAAACTTTCATATATTGGCAGTGGAAATGTAAACTATTGTGGAGGGCAACTGGGCAATTTATTTAAAAATTGTACATGTATATATATATCTTGGGGTATCTGCACTTGGTGGAACAATTCCACTTCTAGGAATCTCTCCTATAGTTATATGTGCATACACACATATGTAAAGTGACGAAATACAAAGTTACCCACTGAAGTGTTGTTTGTAAAGGCAAAAGTCTAGAAATGACTTATATGTTCATCCATAAAGATTATGACTAGTTCATAAATCATACTATGTCCACACATGCAGGCATAAAAAAAGAATGAAGATCTTTAATTACTTACATAAAAAGACCTCCAAGTTAAATTAATTGAAACAAAACCAAACAACACACCAATCATAGTATTCTCTTACTGGGGTTAAAAAAAAGCATAAAAAAGAACATGCATATCATTTTGCTTCTACATGTGTATCATGTGAATATGAAGTAGAAAACTGGATAGCAAGAGCAACAGAATAGAAAGGAGATTATTTCATACCCATTTGTTGCTTAATAATATTAAATACTACAATATTAAAAATTATAATAAAAATACTTAAAACCTTCTTTTAAACAAAGAGTTAAAAGTTACTAAGTTTAAAATATTGAGAAAAACAAGAAACATACCTTTGTGGCTTCCATTATAATTTTGTTAATTTTTGCTTTATCTAATCCTTCCATTCCAGCTTTATTATCATTAAGTCCCACCCGAAGTAGAAGATCATCTTTGCAATTGTTCTTCTCCTTTGTGCTATCCATGATGTAAACTTAAAGTTAAAATGGCTTCTTTCATCTGAAAAAGCATACAAAATAAACACTGCTTTTCAAAGCATTTGTTTGGGCAGGTGGGGGGACTTGAAATGATATAGAATCAGCAAAACAAAAAAAGATAGCTAAGTATTTTTAGCTTTTAAGAAATTATTACTGACATTTAAAAATTACTATCCCAAGATTATTGTACTCTAAGAAGAAAAGATTTAACATTCCTGCAAGAAATTATTACATTTTACCATGTTATGTCACTTCTAAAGTTAAGAAAAATCCTTTCAAATACAAATTCTTTAATATCTTTATAATTTATAACTTACTTTCACATACATTAACATTTAAAAATATGTATAACAACCATGCAAAATAGCTTTGGTTAGGGAGAAAGAAATTGGAATTTCAGGAAGGTTAAATGAATTGCACACCATTAACTCTGCTAATGAGTGAATGACCTGGGATGTGAATCTAACTCTTCTTACTCGAAGTCTAAAGCAGCTACTGTAACATGACAGCTGCCTCCAATTTAGAGTTTAGTTATGCTATAAATAAATGGCCAGGTGAACAGCAGCCATGAACTTAAACAACAAATTATGACAGTGGTCTCTTATTTGCATGACTTAGAAGAGGGCTCATTTGCTTTGCCTTGAGGACCTTTACTTTTTTTTTTTCTAGTTAACATCCAACAGTTAAATAATTTTTTTCTTGTGATAAGGATTTTTAAGATTTACTCTCTTAGCAACTTTCAAATAAACAAACAGTATTTTACATCCCACGACTTATTTATAAATGGAAGTTTATACCTTTTGATCACCTTTACCCCCAACCTCTGGATCTGGTAACCAGCATTCTATTGTTATATCTGAGTTTGTTTTTTATTGTTGTTTTCATTTTACATTCCACACTTGAGATCATATGGTATTTCTCTTTCTCTGTCTGGTTTATTTCATGTAGCACAATGCCCTTAAGGGAACCTTTCCTAATGCTGCTTCCATTTATGGCACCAGCAGAGAATTTAATTAAAAAATACTATGAAAGAATTTGAATACTGTTATTGTTAGTGATAGTTCAGCTAGAAAAAAAAAAATGGTGTACATCACAGTAGTTCCCAAACTTTGTTTTATTTTCTAGGAGCCAGATATTACTATTTTAAAGACATTCTCAGGTTAATTCCAATAAGCCCCCAAAGTATAGCAACCACTGATAATGATGATTCTCAGTGCCTAAGGGAATAAGTCTGATTTTCTGTTTTTACCATTTGAAAGCTTTTTCTCTTTATCCAACACATTCAGCCCAGTATTACTGTATATTTTGCCTTACACTTTAGTAATTCAATTACTTAAAACAGGGGAATGTAATTCATTCATCATTTTCCCAAACCAACACTACTGAAGACTGAAGATACTCAAAGGCAGGCATCTCATTTAAATATAAGCTGCCTTGTCTTTTACATGATGAAATATATGAAAGGAAAAGAAACAATTACTGAATGCCTACATATGGTATATTACAAAGTCCACAAACTCTGAAAATGATCTTTAACTGGGCCAGAAGAACTGGGCAATCAGCAATACTGGCACCAGGCAAAGTTGTGAATGGGTAAAATTAGTTTTCAGCTACCTTTCTGCCTTATTGTTACCCAAATACCAGGTTACCAGGTAACTTTGCCCAGTTTCATGGGTATAGGTTTACCATGCTAATGATTTCCCAGTTTACAGCTCAGGTCCAAAGACCTGTTGGATATCTCAAATTTAACATGCCCCAAAATGATCTTCTCATCCGCCTTTATGCCCCAAACCAGTTCCATTGGAAGCCTTCCTCATCTTAGTTGAGGGCAACTTTAATCCTTTTCAATTGCTCATGCAAATAATCTCGTAGTCATTATTTTATTATTGATATATAGTCTTATGAAGGTTTCAAATGAAAAAACAATGTGGTTACTACATTTACATATATTATCAAGTCCCAACTCATACCCCATTGCAGGCACTGTCCGTCAGTATAGTAAGATGCCACAGATTCACTATTTGCCTTCTCTGTGCTACACTGTTTTCCCCATGACCCATCACACCATCTGTACTAAACATAATACCCCTCAATCCCCTTCTCCCTCCCTCCCCACCCACCTTCACACACCCCTTCCCTTTGGTAACCTCTAGTCCCTTGTTGGAGTCTGTAAGTCTGCTGCTGTTTTGTTCCTTCAGTTTTGCTTCATTTGTTATACTCCACAAATGAAGGAAATCATTTGGCACTTGTCTTTCTTTGCCTGGCTTATTTCACTGAGCATAATATCCTCAAGCTCCATCCATGTTGTTGAAATGGTAGGATTTGTTTCTTTCTTATGGTTGAATAGTATTCCAGTGTGTATATGTACCACCTCTTCTTTATCCATTCATCTACTGATGGACACTTAGGTTCCTTCTATATCTTGGCTATTGTAAGTAGTGCTGCGATAAACATAGGGGTGCATATGTCTTTTGAATCTGATAAGTTGTATTCTTTGGGTAAATTGCAAGGAATGGGATTCCCGGGTCAAATAGTATTTTTATTTTTAGTTTTTTGAGGAACCTCTATATTACTTTCCACAATGGTTGAACTAGCTTACATTCCCACCAGCAGTGCAGGAGGGTTCCCCTTTCTCCGCGTCCTTGCCAGCATTTGCTGTTTCCAGTCTTTTCGATGCTGGCCATTCTAACTGGTGTGAGGTGATGTCTCATTGTGGTTTTAATTTGCATTTCTATGATGATTAGTGATGTGGAGCATCTTTTCATGTGTCTGTTGGCCATCCGAATTTCTTCTTTGGAGAACTGTCTTTTCCTATCCTCTGCCCATTTGTTAATCGGATTATTTGCTTTTTGGCTGTTGAGGTGTGTAAGTTCTTTATGTATTTTGGATGTTAACCACGTGTTGGATATGTCATTTACAAATATATTCTCCCATACTGTAGAACGCCTTTTTGTTCTGTTGGGTGTCCTTTGCCATACAGAAACTCTTTAGTTTGATGTAGTCCCATGAGTTCATGTTTGCTTTTGGTTCCCTTGCTCAAGGAGATGCATTCAGAAAGCAGTTGTTCATGCTTATATTCAGGAGATTTTTGCCTATGTTGTCTTCTAGGAGTTTCGTGGTTTAATGACTTACATTCAGGTCTTTGATCCATTTTGAGCTTACTTTTGTGTATGGGGTAAAACAATAATCCAGTTTTGCCAACATCAGCTGTTGAAGAGGCTGTCATTTCCCCATTGTATGTCCATGGCTCCTTTATTGTTTATTAATTGACCATATATGGTTGGGTTTATATCAGGGCTCTTTAGTCTATTCCATTGGTCTATCAGTCTGTTCTTGTGCCAGTATCAAATTGTCTTGATTACTGTGGCTTGGTACTAGAGCTTGAAGTCAGGGAGCATAATCCCCCCAGCTTTATTCTTCCTTCTCAGGATTGCTTTGGCTATATGGGGTCTTTTGTGGTTCCATATGAATTTTACAATGATTTGCTCTAGTTCGTTGAAGAATGCTGTTGGTATTTTGATAGAAATTGCATTGAATCTGTAGACTGCTTTAGTCAGGATGGCCATTTTGACAATATTAATTCTTCCTATCCATGAGCATGGGATGTATTTCCATTTACTGCTATCTTCTTTAATTTCTCTCATGAGTGTCTTGTAGTTTTCAGAGTCTAGGTCTTTCACTTCCTTGGTTAGGTTTATTTCTAGGTATTTTATTCTTTTTAATGCAACTGTGAATGGAATTATTTTCCTGATTTCTCTCTCTGCTAGTTGAGTGTTAGTGAATACGAATGCCACAGACTTCTGCAAATTAATTTTGTATCCTGCAACACTCCTGAATTCAGACATAAGACCTAGTAGATTTGGAGTGGATTCTTTAGGGTTTTTTATGTACAACATCATGTCATCTGTAAACAGTGACAGTTTAACTTCTTCCTTGCCAATCTGGATGCCTTTTATTTCTTTCTGTTGTCTGACTGCCATGGCTAGGACATCCCATAATATGTTGAATAGAAGTGGGGAGCGTGGGCATCCTTGTCTTGGTTCCGACCTTAAAGGAAAAGGTTTCAGCTTCTTGCTGTTAAGTATAATGTTGGCTGTGGGTTTGTCATATATGGCCTTTATTATGTTGAGGTGCTTGCCCTCTATACCCATTTTGTTGAGAATTTTTATCATAAATGGATGTTGAATTTTGTCGAATGCTTTTTCAGCATCTATGGAGATGATCATGTGGTTTTTGTCCTTCTTTTTGTTGATGTGGTGGGTGATGTTGATGGATTTTCGAATCTTGTATGATCCTTGCACCGTACTTGATCATGATGGGTGACTTTTTTGTTGTATTTCTGAATTCAGTTTCCTAATATTTTGTTGAGTATTTTTGCATCTATGTTCATCAAGGATACTGGTCTGTAATTTTCTTTTTTTGTGGTGTCTTTGCCTGGTTTTGGTATTAGAGTGATGCTGGCCTCATAGAATGAGTTTGGAAGTATTCCCTCTTCTTCTACTCTTTGGCAAACTTTGAGGAGGATGGGTATTAGGTCTTCACTAAATGTTTGATAAAATTCAACAGTGAAACCATCTGGTCCAGGAGTTTTGTTCTTGGGTAGGTGTTTGATTACCAGTTCAATTTCATTGCTGGTAATTGGTTTGTTCAGATTTTCTGTTTCTTCCTTGGTCACCCTTGGGTCTAAATTATTATTTAGAAAGTTGTCCATTTCTTCCAGGTTATCCAGTTAGTTAGCATATAGATTTTTCATAGTATTCTCTAATAATTGTTTGTATTTCTGTGGTGTCCATAGTGATTTTTCCTTTCTCATTTCTGATTCTGTTTATGTGAGTAGACTCTCTTTTTTTCTTGATAATTCTGGCTAGGGGTTTATCCATTTTGTTTATTTTCTTGAAGAACCAACTCCTGCTCTCATTGATTCTTTCTATTGTTTTATTCTTCTTGATTTTATTTATTTCTGCTCTAATCTTTATTATGACCCTCCTTATACTAACTTTGAGCCTCGTTTGTTATTCTTTT